TCGGCTAAATACTGATACTGGCAATATTTCAGTGTTTGTATTAATAGATCTTAGTACTGAATGTGATACTGTTGACCACAATATACTCATCAACAGACTGGAAAAAAATGGGTAGGACTGCCTGAGGCAGTAATTGGATGTTCAGGTAATATTTAGAAGACAGAGGGTACTTTGTGAGCATAGACTGTTACGAATCGGACTAGACCGCTATGAGGACTGCTATGAGTGGTATTTAGAAATCCATGCAATTCTTGCCGCTCGCTGTTCTCAAGTAAAGGATTTGGACGTTGAGGTTGACGTTGACTTTTTTTTACAAGGCGTAAATCTGAAACCATTCAGCTGCGCATAATATCTAGATCATTTGCGATTTATAGATTTCACATCTGGAAGATAGACGGAAGCATGTTTTTTTTTTTTTTTTGTGCGTACGTTCTCTGAATCACACGTATGTACATTGGAGAAAAGATAAAATGGAGGACGGTTTATACGCAACATTTTATAAATGAGGCCCCAGGGGTCTAAAAAACTAAACATGAAGTCAGGAATCTTGGTGTCATCCTGGATTCTGATCTTAGCTTCAGAAGCCATATCAAAGCCTGATCTAAAAATCATATCCCGAATCTGATCCTTTGTGTCTAAGCAAGACATGGAAGCTTATTCATGCATTTATAACCAGGGTAGATTACCTCAATAGACTTCCTAAACTACTAAAAAACTATTAGACGATCGCAGCTCATATAAAACGCTGCTGCCAAGCTTGAACATATCACACCATTTCTTAGGTCATTACCATGACTTCCGTTTATTCAGAATCCATTTTAAAGTACTTTGAATTGTATACAAATCCCATAGTGGCCTCGGACTAAAATGAATGGCAGATATGTTGGTAGAATACAAACCAAATATAGCTCTCAAATTGTAAGGATCAAGCCGGTTAATGCCATGGGTAAATTCAAAACGAGATGGCGTTTAGCTATTGTGCCACCCACAGCTGGAACCAGCTTCCAGAGCTTGCCAGATGTGCCTTATCGGTATAGCTTCCTTTAGTGCAGATTAAAAACACATCTGTTTAACTGAATTTCCTGTGGAAGAAGAAGTGATGAGATTACACCCACTTCCATCATCTTTATACAATTGGCTGACACTCAAAAATATCATGCATTGTGTTCATTTTCTGGGAGTTAACTGGTGGTGTTGCAATGCAGGAACAAGCGGTACTCTCTTACTTTACCAACCTTAGCTAGCAACCCCTTTAAGTTATTCTCTTTTAAGACAGACACAATTTGATCTGTGAGACTCTAGCTAGAGTTTACCAGCCATATCTGAACACTTTAAATCCTAAATTTTTTCGATTGCTTTCAAGGAATACCTTCTCCTTAATAAGGTTATTATAGTAACAACAACTTTAAAGGGATAGTTCACTTTGAAATACATTTTTGGTATGTTTTAGCTTACCTCAAGGGCATCCAAGATATAGGTGTCTTTGTTTCCGCTGTAGTTTCAATTTTGATATTTTTAGGTCAAACCGTTCTTGTCTGTCAGTCATATAATGCAGGTCTATGGTCACCACCTCAAAGAGCATGCACAGAGAAGTCCAAATTAAGTACACATTGAGGGCCTAAGACACGAAACGAGCGGTTTGTGTGAGAAAACGAACAGTATTTATATCGTTTTTACCTCTTGTAACCACAGCCACGTCCAAGTGATCTGAGGGCGCGGGAAGTGATCTGATACCGAAGCGCCGGAAAGCGCCGGAAGTGATCTCTCGCGCGTGTACGTCACTCATTGTTTACACAGAGATTTCGGAAGTGTTACCTTTCACTGTGAAGATCTAAACATATTTAGATATACAGGAAATCACAATGGAAGACGATTTCGATATATCAACAGACAACGGTGCATTTTTTTCACAACCATATTTAGATCACTTCCGGCACTCTCCTGCGCTTGCGCAGACCGAAGCGCCCGCGCCCTCAGATCACTTGGACATGGCTGTGGTTACAAGAGGTAAAAACGATATAAATACTGTTCATTTTCTCACACAAACCGCTCGTTTCGCGTCTTAGGCCCTCAATGTGTACTTACATTTACGAGTCATTAAATCATGTTTAATTTGGACTTTGAGGTGGTGACCATAGACCTGCATTATATGACTGACAGACATTTCGTCGAAATCTTACGCACATGGCATCCATTAGCGTCAATATGAGACGCAGAACCCAAGGCGTCATACAGGTGACGCTTGTCTAAATCCGACGCACGTGGCATCGTTTAGCGTCAATATGAGACGCAGATCCCAAGGCGTCATAACCGTAACCCTACCCCAGACCTAAACCTACCCATAACAGTGCGTGTTATATTGACGCTAAAGGATGCCATGTGCGTAAGATTTCGACGAAATGTCATATGGCATCACCTATATGACGCCAAAGGATGAGAATGTGTTGGCTAAAACATACCAAAAATGTATTTCAAAGTGAACTATCCCTTTAATAGTCCGTTAGATATGATTGGAGTTGTTTTATTGCATTAAAATAAAAATAATATGCATTTAGACATTTTTATTTATATGTGCCCAGTCAGTATAATGAGTACATTCCAGTGTATTTAAGTCTGTGCAACGTCATCAAAAAGACAGATATTAGTGGTTAATATTTGGTTATGTGGTTATGTTGTACATGTCAATGAGTTCCTTTAGTGGCTGTTGCAAGGAAGTGCGTGATGAAGGAGAATTCCAGGAAATAGTTAGAATAGGCTATAGATTTAATCAATAATAGCAAAATGCATAAAACAACCTCTAAACAAAGACAGGACAAAGAACTGAACAAAATATAGGCAGTACTTATACCAGAACAAAATGAGGGATCTAATGAGTTGATTAACGATCAACAGGTGAACTGATTGAAACTGACACCGAAATAGAAACTAGGTCAAGGAACAAACACAATGCAACAAAACACACTCCTGGCACATAGTGTGCAAGTGCAGTGAACAAAGAAGAAATAATTTTTTACTGACATTAGTACAGCTGCTTCTCATTGAGCTAAGCAACATATAATAGTATCAGCATAATACCTTAAAAACTTTAACGATAACGTTCAAACTTAACTGGTTAAGTTAAAATTAATTAAAATTAAATTTTGCTTTACTCAAATATGAAAAAATAACACCTAAATTCAGCAATTACTGTCCTTATCCAGCTTTAAAGTCACCATGAAATAAAAAATTCCTATTTTTTACAGAGTATTATAAATGATTTATCGGTGCACCATTATTCTTTTTTTATTAATGTTCCCCCTTAATCTTTAATGAAAATAACTTTCCCCTCCCTATCCCAGCGACATCTCTTCTCTGATGATGTGTTTTCACATGAGATCGCAGAAATAGCCGCAATAAATGACTCACAACTTTTAATGCAACAAAAATGATTCATCAAGTCTCAGCACAAATGGATTAACTCTTTCCCCGCCATTGACAGAATTTTCCGGCAATCCACGTTTTCAATATTATACGATGGGGGCGCAATTACGCATGAAAGAGTACCAAAATCCCCTGATCCAAAAACCGGCGAAGAAGGAACAGAAACACATATGTAAGCTAATGCGATCATTAAACAGCAAATAAATCAAAACTGCCTAACATTACAGAATGAAAAGTGGTAGGAAGAGATACGGGACTGTGCAAGCTTTGAGGGTGTTGATGGACTCAATCTACGCGGCCTATGTTTTGATCAATGTTCTGAATCCGATCCGGATGTAGCTAGTCTTTGACAGAAACACATTTTTCTCAGCTTTTTGTTCAAAATGTTGCTTTTTTTTTAAATGAAATTTACCCACATTCAAGTGTTAAAATAAGAATGCGGGATTCTGTTTTGTTTAAAAGCACAGGCTCTGTTATTTCTTTTGATTTATTGCATGTTCAGATATTCATTCAACAAAATATTCTGTGGGCCATGAAAGTTTTGTGAAAATGATCAAAATTGCTGGTGCTGGCTCGCAACTTAAAAAAAAACACAAGTTAACTTGTTGTGACAAAATGTACAGTAATTGTGTTTCTTTAGCTCATTATAATTAAGTAATTTAAACAAGCAGAAAACATCTACTTTTTTGGCATTATTTGTGCAAAGACTAAAGCATATTGAAGCTTCTCATTCTTCTTGTAGAAACAATTCTTATTATTTACAATTCAGATTTACAATTCTTATTATTCTCAATGGAGATTCTCCTTATATTCTGTAATACAGTCATTTCACATTTACAGTGTCAAGAATTGTTTTGCAGATGATGAGAATTGTCATGATAATGTCAATATGCAATAAATCTCAATACGCTTTGTTTTATTGAAGCAAAATATAACTTATTTTACCAGTAGCACCGTTTTATATCATCTGCTCATTAAAATACCCTCTTGCTGTTTGAAAGCTTTAAGCAGAAGCATATCATTTCGACATGAAAGATATGTAGTTTTTATTTCCATTAAAGCTTAAGACATTAGTTATATAAAAACATGCCACAGTGAAACATCTTCTCTCACAGTATCTTGTCTCCCATTATCGATGGTGCAATACATAGAAACTAAAACTGAGCACAGCTAGATCTCACAAAAACATGGTCAAGCCTATTTCACCCTATACCAAAAAATGGGGAATGGCCATTATTAGCACCATACTTTTTTTTTTTTTTGCCTTTTGAAATTATTTTAATGATGATAAACAGAAAATATTAATTTGATTAAATATTAATATTTTCATTTAATTTTCTTCTATCCTAGTTTTCTCATTTTTTGTGATTCTTATTCTCAGTAAATCTTAGTATTTTTCATAACTATAACTGATTTGAAAAATAATGCAAAAAAAGCAAATATAAAAAATAAATTAAAAAAAGCAGAAGTGCTAAACATATCCTTGGGGCGCATAGCATATTATCTTTATTAGGAAATGTCACAGTATAACATTTAAAGCAAAAGTAAACGGCAAAAAAAAAAAAAAAAAAAAATACTGCTCGGACTTCACAGAGCTCACAGCGCTTTATGTAAATGCTCCCATGCATGAATACGTGTTTGTAAAGTACGGCTTACACAGCAGCATCATTTTCACAGCCGTACAATACACTTTCCCCACCAATCCAGACGAAATACCTTCTACCTGTGGTGAGGTTGCAACCTTCCACAGATACCTGATATCGTCCTCGTGTCCGTGAGAAGTGATCATTTTTTCGTAGATGCACGGGTGATAGGGCGTTTTCCCCTCCCCCGAGAAGTAAACGTGTTCCTGAGGCGAGACGCCCGCTGCAATGGCACAGACGCCCATGAAGACATCATCGATGTGCATAGAGGCGTTTAGAGACAGCATGGCCTGATAGATTTTGGCTGCCACGTCGCCAGAGACCACGTAGCCTGCCCCGGCGGTGTAATCTGGGTAGGAGGACCACTGGTACATGTCAAAAGGCATGTAGTACTTACTGTCCCTCCGGCGAATGGGAGGAGCCCCCCTGTGCACATGGCCGACCCAGAGATTGCGCACGTTCCTTCTTCTGAGGTCCTGCAGGTAGTGCACCAGATTGGGCATGTGAATGAAGACGTCGTCGTCCGCGGTCATGAGGAAGCGGGCATGGGCGCAGTTCTCATGCGTCCAGTGGAACTGAAGCAGCAGTTTCACAGTGAGGTTGTGGAATGTGTCAAGGAAATCCTGCTGAACCAGGTCACCATGGTTCACATGTTCCTTCTGCAAGTCTTTCAGCAGTGACTTATTAGTGAACACGTCTGGGTTAGCACCCATAGCGAACACCACCTTCACGAGAACACCCAGCTCGCGACTCACGTAGGACTCGTCGCCCCAAGTGGAGCGGATGGCCTGCCGTCTCTTGAAGTTTCCCGGAGAGGACTTCACGAAGAGGAGGAGCAGCACGTCTTTGTCCGTACAAACGCCCTTGTTGTTTAGCAAATACGGGAAACTTCCAAACCTGGCGGCTTCCTCCGGGCTGACGCTGAGGCTCTTGTTGATGAAGCCGTAGCTGTTGATCAGGTAGCGGTAGGAGTACGACTTCACGTGGCTCACGACGTGGTGGTCCACTTGTTCCCAGCAAACCATGAGGATCGACATGACACAGCACATCGAGACGAGCCGTAGAAAATGCCATTTTTTCACCCTTCTGTAATTTATGAACATTCTGCTAAAGCTATACGCACACACCCAAACCCTCTCTCTTGTCAAGTCCAATAATGCAATCCAGATGTACCGCTTACAAATAGTTCCATCATAGTCATCTCACTGCAGATGTGTTGGCCAAACAGAACCATTAACCCTGAACATTTTCCTTTTTGTGTCTTTTTTTCTTACACCTCTTTTTACAAAAAATGTCTGCCGTTATTTGCTTTCGATGCGAAGACAATCCACTGTATTGCATTAATGCCACATTTGTGTTCTGTAAAGAAAGAAGAATGATTATTTCAAAAGGATGCAAGGATTGCATTTAATTATGATTTACAGTAAGCTACTGTACATAAACCCTTATTCTTTATACAGATAACTTCATTACATTGCCTATTGGTTGTCTGCATATAATTTGTGTAGATGATCTGGCATGTTTTACTTGGATTAATGATAATAAAAATACATAAATATAGTTCATAGTTCACGATACAAAGCTGAACTTTCAGCATCATTACTCCAGTCACATGATCCTTCAGAAATCATTCTAATATGCTGATTTTGGCGCTCAAGAAACATTTCTTCTTGTTAATATTATTATTATTATTAACTATTATTATCAGTTTACATATTTTTGTGGAAACTGTGATACATTTTTTGATAAATAAAGAGTTCAAAAGAACAGAATTGATTTGAAATAGAAATATTTTGTACTAAATGAAGTCTTTATTGTCACTTTTGATCAATTTAAATGCATCCTATAGCTGAATAAAATTATTAATATAAAAAATCATACATTTGAATGGTTGCGTAGAAATATTATTAATATATTTGGCAACACTTCACAATAAGGTTTTATTAGTTAAGTAGCTATAGTTAAGCTTAAAAACAGCATTTATAATCTTAGTTAATGTTAATTTTAATGTTTACTTGTACATTATTAAAATCAAAAGTTGTATTCGTTAACATTAGTTAATGCACTGTGAACTAACAATGAACGGCAGTATTTTTATTAACTAACATTAACAAAAAATGTAATAGATACTGTAAAAAATGTATTGCTCTGTTAGTTCATGTTGGTTAATAGATAATCTAATGTTAACAAGATGACTTTATTGCAAAGTGTTACTGAATCACTGTTTCAATACATGTTTATCTTTTCTTTTAAAATCATGGCAGCCATTCCACCTATTTGCTTTCAAAACAACATTCCTCTCTAACAAATGCTGCCTGTTTACACCATTTGTTGCGAGAGCTTATTCAAAACCTTAAGGGGACTCGCCTAATCGATCTTGTGAATGAAAGCAATCGTCGACTCAGCGCAACGTTGAATAAAAGAAGGCTTTAAACCGCCGAACACGCTGATCTGCTGAGTGCTGTACAAAACGAAAAGATCATTACAGCAGCAAATCTACTCAAAGGCACGACACGGCAACAATGAAACTCATAATAATGTCACACACCCAAAACTCTTGTGAGCCTAGAGCAGCCGGGATCGTCTGTCAAACTGGATCACCTTCTCACACCAGCCGGCCTGTGCAATTATTTACTTCAGCAACAGTCTACATGACTGTCCATTACATTTTCCCTCCTTCATTTTGATCCAAACTTGCCTAAAAATGTATTACAGCTCTTTTTGTGCAATCAAGGATTCCAACAGTAAAGTTATACATTAAAAAAGCATATTCATGTAGATTTCAACACATTTATGCTTTGTATATATAAATGATAGTAAGTGAAACTGGTTTCTTTATTCTAACGGTCTCATTCTCTGTGAATTAATTCAAACGTTTCAACACCGAATTGTGCTTTTATGCCTTTTAATCTTCACGGCCTGTTCAACTTCTTTATTTAATACCTTTGTCATCGTTTAGTCATCTCTAAAAGTATTTCTCTGATGTAACATTAGCATTACTTAAATTTTTCTTATAGGTTAAATGTCATTAAAAAATAACCCTCCCAAAGAGACTCCTTGGAAAAACACCCTAAGCAAAGGTTCATTTTAATAGATATTAATCATATGAGGCGGACGGCATGTTTAAAGGGCTTGGCGCTTTCATTCGTTTTTTTTTTTTTTTTTTTTTATATGAAACTCAATACTCAAACTCCACAGTTACAGTGTAAATTTAGCATGAGGTCTCTAAGGCTTGACATACCAATGGAAAAAACATTTAGGCTTCTAGAAGTTAAATCTTTTAGTTGTTTTCTGGAAGAACTCTGGGCAGAAACTCTATAATGAACTCAAAAAATATATACGACTTACCATTGAGAGCGTGGCCCATCCATGATGTAGTAAATATACAAAAGTCTTTGTTTTAAAGCCCTGGATTTCAGTCGTATTGTTACAGCGGTATTGAAAGCAGAAGTGTGCAGCTACTAGTGGAGCATTTGAGCAGGAGTGTTTCCTGATGGGTGGGAGGGGGAAAGTACAACCCTCTTTTTAAACATTGGCCAACTTTATCATATGAACAAACTGTGAAAACAGAGACATCTCTGACAGAAACATGGAATTTGGGTCATCTGATTCACATAAGCAAGGCTGCACCTCAGCACAATAAATGCGATTCATCGGCCTTGGTCTGTGTTAGAGGAGAACTAGTTAAGACAAAATGAGATCTGATACCTTGGGTCATTTATAGCACCTAGCATGTTAAGAGAAATTAAATAAAATGTCATCATTTAATTTTAGGGTGTAGCCAACAAACTAGATGAGCGTTAGCGTCCACTGTTGACACAAAGATTGAAACCGAGCTGCCTTTTTGTTTGATAGTGGTAGATGACATGTCAATGCAAAATACCAAAGGGTTTAAGTGGAACAGCCTTTATCAGATATTTTTAGCTTATTAAAATATACAATTTATTTTATATACAGTATATATATATATATATTAAAGCTTTAAAAAATAAAGATTTTCTGCTATGAAAAAAAAACCTTCCCTTATAGTGTGATGGCTTTCTGAGAGCTCTGTTCATAGTGAAGCTTCCATAAAAAATATCTCGTCACACCGATGTTCTGACCTTTTTTGTGACCGAATACTGATGGATTTTTCATGTTTCTCAACAGTCACATAATGAATGAATTGATTGAGACGGAGAGGCTGTACGTGGAAGAGCTGCAGAGCATCATAGAGGTACATGCATGTGAAAATAAGAACGGAAACTCTTGTTGCAAGTTGTCTAGAACATATCAAAAGTTTAGGGTCTGTAAGAATTCTTTTATTCTTTTTCAAAGATACTAATACTTTTATTCTGCAAGAATGCATTCAATCAAAAGTGAAATTCCTGAAAAAAGCATCACGGTTTCCACAAGAATATTAAGCAGCACAACTGTTTTCAGCATTGATAATAATAAGAAATGTTTCTTAAGCAGAAAATTGGCAAATTAGAATGATTTCTGAAGGATCATGTGACCCTGAAGACTGGAGTAATGATGCTGATGCATAAGATGCTTCTTTAAAAAAAAAAAAAAAAAAAACCTTTTAATGGACTTTCACACGGAAGTGATACTTATTAATAAAGTCATCTGTATTTAGTCTACCCTATATCTCATACAGATTATTTAAATGGATACATATTCAAGCTTTCACACAGACCTCATATGATTTGATTTTATATTTATTAAACATATTAAATACATTACTCAAAAGGCCTCATCATCACTTAATCTTTTAGGTTGTTTTAATCATCTCATGCAGACCTCTTATAAATCACTTAATAATTGACAATCTCTCACAGATCTGATACTGTACAAATCACAAACAATAATTTGAGTCCTAGTATTTGTGATTTGTCAGAGCAATAAAAAAGCATTTGCTAAGAACAGAAGCGTGCAAATAATGCAAATGTTGTATGTGAAAAATCTGGGGAAGTGAAAATTTGTGACCGTTTTGGTGGTTGTGTTTATTTGTGTGTCTGTATCCTGCAGGGATATTCCGCTGCACTGGATGACCCCGAGCTGATCTACTTGATACCACCGTCTTTGGAAAACAAGAAGGATGTTCTCTTCGGCAATCTGCCAGAAATCTACGAATTTCACCAGAAGTAAGGAAACTGATTTTCTGTTGAAATTTCCAACTTAAGGACATGATATTGGATTTCCAGCTGGTCAGAACAGGTCAGTTAGTGTGTCGCTTGTCCAAGATGATCTGCCAGTTTGAACCGAAACCAGCTGCCATGTTCCGAAACACAGCAAACAGCTTGAGCTGGATTTTCCAGCACGCTTTTCCATGAGACCCTCCCCCAATTTGCTCCCGCATTCCTGGAATGGCTTTTAGGACAACTGGTTAGGTTAGTTTCTTTTCCTGTTCAGTCTGACATTTCCCTATATTGTTAATTGTAAAAATGTAATGCAATGTAAACTCCACACCCATAAAACCAGGAAGTCATTTTAACCATCCCTTTTTTTGTATATAATGAGTATAAGAGAAACAACAGTGTGTCTGGGTTGGGACTGGGGCTCGTGATATTGAATTGTAAAGTCATTGTCGCTAATAATCAATAGGGATTACCTGGCCCGTTGTCCGGCTGGCCTCATGCTAGCGATTATTCTTCTAGAGTTCATTGTCTTCTACATGGCATCGAGTTACAGCAGAGTCCAGGAATAACAATAAAAGCCCCCCCCCCCAACTGTGTTGTGTGCCTCCACATCCCAGCACCTGTTTCTACTGCGTCAATCAGGTGGACATACACGACGCCCATCATTCCCAGCCGTAGCCTTGGTTTTGTGGTTTTACAGTCATTGAAACACAAGCCTGTCATCGTGCCAGTAATGAAAAGTGTGACTTCTACGAAGGCTTTTGTGTTTGTTGTTGATATTGGACGTTCTGTATTGATTTGTTTGACAGGGATAAAATGTATATAGGTTTTGCTTAAATAATCATACAAAGGGCAACAGAGGGATAGTTCACCCCAAAATGAAAATTCTGTCATTATTTATTTTGTGCAAAATAAACAATGTTAAAGGAACACTCCGACTTTTTGGGACTTTAGCCTATTCACCTTATCCCCCAGAGTTAGATAAGTCCATACATACCTTTTTCATCTCCGTGCGTGCTATAAGTCTGTTTGACGCACCCACCGCTAGCCTAGCTTAGCACAAAGACTGGATGTAAATGGTTGCAGCTAGCATACTAATCCAAATAAGTGACAAAATAACGCAAACATTTTCCTATTTACATGTTGTGATTTGTATAGTCACAGAGTGTACAAAAAACAAAGTCACATGAGACACAGACATATTTTAACCGTATAAATACTGGGAACTATATTCTCAGAAGGCAGCACCTGAGACGCGCCATGGTGAGGAGCAGAGAGAGCGCGTCTCAGGTGCTGCCTTCTGAGAATATAGTTCCCAGTATTTATACGGTTAAAATATGTCTGTGTCTCATGTGACTTTGTTTTTTGTACACTCTGTGACTATACAAATCACAACATGTAAATAGGAAAATGTTTGCGTTATTTTGTCACTTATTTGGATTAGTATGCTAGCTGCAACCATTTACATCCAGTCTTTGTGCTAAGCTAGGCTAGCGCGGGGTGCGTCAAACAGACTTATAGCACGCACGGAGATGAAAAAGGTATGTATGGACTTATCTAACTCTGGGGGATAAGGTGAATAGGCTAAAGTCCCAAAAAGTCGGAGTGTTCCTTTAATGCTATTCTTTCCCATACAATAAGTCAATGGTGACCAAAAATGAGACTTAGTTTAGTTTAGTTTATTTTATTTATTTTATTTTTATTTAATTTAAAAAATAAATATATTTTATGAAAACTCACTAAACATCAGTTTCACGAACAAAGCTAGATGGAAACATGAGGGCTTTTCATAAACAAAGACTAAACACTTAACAAGACAAATCTGAAAGTAATCAACACAATAAACCAATAAGAACATGACACATGAACCAAGGGAACCAATCAGAACCTGACACAAATCAGAACCTCTACTAATATTATGGTGCTTCTTTGTGATATTTGGAGCAGTGAGAACTTTCTGCCCTCATTTCTTTTCATTGAAAGAAAAAGTCTAATTCATTTAGAAAAAAAAACATGAGGGAGAGTAAATGGTGACTCACATCACTGTACACTCAGATATCTAACAACACCTTCTTGGTGCTCTGATCTGTTTTTTTTTTTTTACCCATCTCACGGTTTCCCTACCCGTTGACCTCTCGTTCCATTACCTCATTTATTTTGTCTGTACTCATTTTTTCCATCATGTTTTGACAGGACGTTTCTTAAAGAGCTGGAAAATTCTGCAGAAAAGCCAGAGTTGGTAGGGATATGCTTTTTGAAGCGGGTGAGTGACATCATAGAGATGTGGTTGGAGATACAGTACAACTACAGTATGTGAAATGGGATCCTAACGCTTGTCATTTGCTGTTTTACAGAAGGAAGAGTTACAGATTTATGAGAAATATTGTCAGAATAAGCCACGCTCGGAGGCTCTGTGGCGGCAGTGTGGGGACAGTATGTTCTTTCAGGTGATGCCTATATATACATTATACAAAAGTTTGCCGTCGGACAGATTTTCTTTGTTTTTGATGTCTCTTATGCTGACCTGCATTTATTTGATCAAAAATGCAGTTAAAACAGTAACATTGTGAAATATTTTTGTAATTTAAATATAATCTATTTATACTGTGAATGCAAAGCTGGTTTCAGCATCATTACTCCAGTCTTCAGTGTCACATGATCCTTCGGATATCATTCTAATGCGCTGATTTGATGATCAAGAAACATTTTTATTGTTATTTTGTTGTTATCACTGTTGAAAACAGATTTGCTGCTTATTATTTTTTTGGATAATTATTTCCAATTTTATGATACAATTTTTACAGGATTCTTTGATGTACAGGAAGCATTTTTTTAATATTGGAATCTTTTGAGACAATGTAACAAATTCTAATAATCTTTACTGTCACTTTGTCCTTGCTGAATAAAAGTATTTATTTCTTAAAAAAAAAAAAAAGAAAGTTCCTGACCCCAAACTTTTGAACGGTTGTGTAATGTTTGATGTTTGTAAATTTTACTTCCCTTAAATCCCTTTTAGATGTTAAAATAGTTTTGAACCCTTACACTGTGTTGAAAACCCTGTAGCATTAATGACCTTTGATGTTTCCGGTCAAACATGATTGCAATTTTCCCAATATTTTACTGAATGACAAAATTATCCACAAATACAGTTTTTTTTCACTTAAAAACTGAGGTGCAAAAAGCTCAGATCAAAGAGGATCAGGTCAATCAGTTCCAGAAAGAAATACAAAATCCTGTCCTAATTGAAAGAAAACGAGTTGACAAAAAGATTGAATCCAATATTTGGTGATAATATAGCATAATGAGAGATGTATAAGCTATTTTTGTAGGCGGGTCATTTTTGACCCGGAACACCACAAGTGAAAAATCCGAAATGGCCCGAACACAACATAAGAGTTATTTTTTGCTTTTTTTTGCTTTTTTTTATTTTTTATGCAGGAGTGTCAGAAGAGGTTAGACCACAAGCTTTCATTAGATGCATATCTGCTAAAACCTGTGCAGAGAATCACCAAGTACCAACTGATGTTAAAGGTAAGTCTTTAAATTTTATATTAGATTGTTGTTTGTTTGTATATTGAGGTGATGACCTCTCAATTGCCTTTTATTGTTCTTTAAATCTGCTCATTTTACAGGAGATGCTGAAGTGCAGTAAAAACTCAGAGGGAACGGCCGAGCTAGAAGAAGCCCTGGCCACAATGCTGGACATCATCAAATCGGTCAATGACTCCATGCATCAGATCGCCATCACTGGTTTTGAGGTTTTTACACATTATATAATTTTTATTTCAACAGTTTGCGTGTTGAGCACCTATAGTACGGTGGAGGTCATTATTTTGTATGTTTGAAGTCGCTTTGTGTGTGTGCTAATGTAAATCTGGTGTGTGATTTTGTCCGTATGCTTGTGTCTTTCAGGGTAATCTGAATGATTTGGGCAAACTGCTCATGCAGGGCTCGTTTAACGTTTGGACAGACCATAAGAAAGGTCACAGTAAAGTGAAGGACTTGGCACGCTTCAAACCCATGCAAAGACATCTCTTCCTCTACCACAAAATCCTTTTGTTCTGCAAGAAACGTGAGGAGACGTCTGATGGTCATGAGAAATCCCCTTCCTACAGTTTCAAGCACTCGTTAAAGGTGGGACAGACACCATCACTGACTGTCAGATTGAGCAACAGAGCTAACAGTGCCTAAAAATCTCAAAGTAGCGACATTGTTTACATCTGGCTGTACAGAATGAGCTATATCTACAATGTAGGCATGCCATGCCATTGAACATCCTGTTTTGTAGATATTGGCTCTAAGGTGTTCCTGTTGGCTCTAAGGTCTCCTTTAACTTCAGAGCAAATATTTGACCTTTTCAAACGTTTTCTTTTAATTAGTTGTGGCGTTATATGTGAATGCAAACAAAAAAACTCCTCTAAATTGAGCAGTTGTTCTCAAGTGGTTTTGCCTCAGGTTTTAAATTCAGTGGTGACCCAGGAAGTTTGAAAAGTGGTAAATAATAATAATAATAAATAATTAAATAAATAAAGTAAAAAATGTTGGAATAAATTATTGAATTGTTGAATGTAATTGATAAATTTAATGAATTGCATATCCTGAAAAGGGAAGTATATACAGTATATGTATGTGTGTATGTCTGTATATATATATATATATATATATATATATATAATTACTTATTTTTTCAGATGAGCTCAGTGGGAATCACAGAAAATGTAAAGGGAGACATCAAGAAGTTTGAAATCTGGTACAATGGCAGAGAGGAAGTTTACATCATTCAGGTACAGACTAATGTGACACAGAATTGTTTTTTTGAGTAAATGCAGTGGGGTCCAAATACCCTGCAGAAAAATCCAGAAATCCAGAAAAAAGGTATGATTTGCATGCTGGGAGCAATATGGGATGCTGGTTTGCTGGTCTCCAGCATGGGTAGCAGGAGTTCTGGTGGACCAGCTACACCATCAGCTCAGTTTTGCTTGAGAACAGCACGATTATGCTGGTCCACTAGCTAGACTAACACTTTTCCAACCTCCAACTAGCATAAACCAGTCTGGACCAGCATAGAATTCAATCTATTTATGCTAGATTTTTCAGCAGGGTAGTCTGTGACTATGTAAAAAAAAAAATTATGTTAACCAAATGTGAGTCTATTATTATATTCACAACAATGTCCGTTGTGGCTGTGTTCTGTTGTGAACATTTTTGGGTAATTCATATCTATACCCTTACCCTGTCAGCCATATCGTTTTATCTAATCTATTTTGTTGTCGAATGGCATCCTGTTTTTCCATGTCTTGGCCATGAGAGGGAACTGTTGTCCCATAGCAGGAAGGTTTCCACTGTCATAGCATATGTCTGTTCCTGTATTCTCTGTCAGGCCCCTTCCATGGATGTGAAGAACACGTGGGTGTCAGAGATCCGCAAAGTCTTAACAAGCCAACTGGAGGCCTGCCGAGGTATTTCTGAGCAAACATTCCTAAACATCAATGTGCAAGCCCAGTCTGATAAAAATAAAACTCTGTCTAACCTGATGAAGTTATCCAGGAACAAACATGTATCATGCAAAGCCAAAATGAATTGTAAACTCACAATGACAACCTTAAATAACCTCACCCTCTAAACTCACATTTTTAACGTTTTGCAACCTTGCCCTGTAAAAACTATTTATAGAGTTCTCCTCAGTGCTTAGAAACACCCAAAGAGAGCATGTGCTGTCTGTGGGGCTATCTGATAGAGAACACATGATGTTATCTAAAACTTTTAGATTTCATGGTTGTTTAGAAAAGGTGGTGAAATCAACATCAAAGACCAAAAAAATCCTGAGGTGTTTTCTGTGGTTTTAATTTGTGTTGTCTGAATACAGTACGTAAACATTGACTAGCCTCTGTATAACCCCCTCTCTCTCTCTCTCTCTCTCTCTCTCTCTCTCTCTCTCTCTCTCTCTCTCTCTCTCTCTCTCTCTCTCTCTCTCTCTCTCTCTCTCTTCTCTCTCCTCTCTCTCTCTCTCTCTCTCTCTCTCTCTCTCTCTCTCTCTCTCTCTCTCTCTCTCTCTCTCTCTCTCTCTCTCTCTCTCTCTCTCATTGCACAGAAGCCAGTCAACTCCATCAGAAGATTACAGAGAACATCTACCATGCTCCCATGAGGTACTTTTTGCGAGTTTCTGTTTGTTTGTGTGTGGTCATACATACTTAAAGTGCCCCTATTATTTTATTTAAAATGTTCAGAATTTCTAAATTTCTAAAGTCTCCTACAGCAGGTTTACATGCATAAAAGGTAAAAAAAACCCGTTCATTTTCTCATAATATACATTGCACATCACAACATTTTTCAAAGATTCTTAAACGACTTGTCCGAAGATTCAGTCTCTCTAAACCCCTCCTTTCTGAGAGCCTACTCTGCTCTGATTGGTCAAATGGCCCAGTCTGTTGTGATTGTTCTACCGCTTACAATGCGTGTCGGAAACGATACGCCCATTACCATATCTGAACTTCAGCTACGGAGGCTTCCTAAAGCTCAGCGATTGTACACACTGTAACGCACTTTCGGCTTCACAACTTTGCAGATCGTTAACATTCACAAACCGCTCGCTACATTACACACTGCATGAAAGGTAATATTCAAAAAAGCATGATAGAGGCACTTTATAAAATGATGAATTTCATTACAGATATATTTCAAAACAAATTATGCTCAACCTTTTCTCAAAGCTATTTTATAAGCATATTTGAACTTGATTTTATCTAACTGCCAGTAATATCTACTTTTGAACCAGTTTTGCTTTAGTACTCTAATTGTACTAACTTGATTACCTTTTACAGTGTGTACTTAACAATAACGATAATATATATTTTTTTATATTAAAATATTTGAATCTCCTCCTTGCTCAAAAAATGTGATTTGCTTGATTTTCACATCTGTCTACATGTAATACAATCCGAATTACCCTTTGTTTGTACATGCACATTTAATAATGAATATTTGCTTATGGTTGATATAATAGAGTTGATATAATAGAGTGATAATATACAGTTGTAAACTAAATTATTCAACCCCCGTTGCAAAATGTACAGACTTTCAGCTGTTTGCATCAAACAAAAGTAATTGAAATAGCTAATCACAACAAATGTTTCAAGTGGTTACCCCCGAATTCAACTGAAAATGCAACTTTGAATGACTTCTGCAGTCTCAAAATTATTCAACCCCTTTATTGATGGACCCCTGTATGATTAGTTGAATCAGGTGTGCTTGAGACAACACCTGTTTTGCAGATTTGTGCTGTTGTGAGGGGTTTTATTCAGGGGGTTGAATAATTTTGAGACTGCGGAAGTCATTTAAAAGTTGCATTTTCAGTTGAATTTGGGGAAACCACTTGTTGTGTTGAGCTATTTCAATTACTTTTGTTTGATTTGTTCATTGCAAACAGCTAAAAATGTCTGTAAATTTTGCCAAAAAACTTGATTTGCAATGGGGGTTGAATAATTTCAACTATAACTGTACCATTATGTTCAGCTGACTTTGCTTTCATTGACAGATATATGCGCAAAACAGCTCTCCGACAGTCGGACTCTTCCAGTCCTGAAACAGGCTACAGACGTGACACAGGCCCAAATATGCGTCAGAAACGAGGTGAGAGCCCCTCTAAATCTCATACCCAAACAGTGCAAACCTACCGTTTCTCCTTCAGAGCCTGCAGCGGTCAACAAGCATTCCAGATTTGTGGTCATTTGAGGAGAAAGTCTATTAATCTCAAAGTGCTGTCTGTCTTCCTCCCTCCTGCTTACTTTTTTAACCATTTAGTGCATTTTCTTTAATTTGGCCATTATCTCTAATCTCTGCTGTAATGGCTGTAAAATTGCCACTGGGTAATTGGTTACTGGTAAGCACTTCACAGATTCATTCCCCTTGGTGAGGTGTTTTAAGATGAGGCTCAGTTAAAATGCCATTAACATCTGGATGAGCGCGATGAATCCCCCAATCTCCGGTTGGTCTGACCTGGACTGCTCCCTTTTACCTCACCTGTGTATGTTGGTGTCTGGTTAAGATGGAGGGGTGGTTTGGGGTAAATATGGCTATGTTTGGTCTCTCCGTCCTGCCTGGTTGCAGATTTTGAATGAGTAAAGGATTGTGACAGGTGTTTAGTTCCTCTGAGGATAGAAGTCCTCTGTGTGCTGACCCAGCGCTCCTGACAAACTCAGCCTGGAGGCAGTGTTGTGTTCAACTGCAGCGGAGGATTACGAGTGTCTGACCCGAGCTGGAGATGTTTTACACTCATAAACATGTCTCACCTTAGTCTTTGACACAGCTAAAACATCCATTATGCCGGTGCTTATGCAATATCTACCGAGCATAATACAATATAATGCAAATTTTGGATTGGATATCGTTTGAATTTTAACGATTCCGATTCTGCTTCTTATTGATTCCTAATTTCGATTCCAATAATATATCATTCATATTCTAAGTCTTATTGCAAAACTTTGTAGTTGAATACCATGAACAAAAATAAACAGGCTAAAGAACACTTATACAAGGAACTTTTGCCAATGGTTTAAAAATACCAAAAACAACTAGATTAACTTATATAAATTTCAAGCATTATTAAAGACAAGTAAACACTCCGTGATTAAGAACAAATAAACAAATTAGCAATCGCACAAATAAATACAACTGAACAAAGATGCGATTGAAATAAACAGTGTTTTAAGATTTTCAGGTATTCGGGTACAGAAACTGTAATCAAATGTAAAATAAGACTGCACTTTGTAGATAAAATATGCATTACAAATATAGTTATTTGTAAAAGTTATTTAGTCAAGAACGGCGACTGAATTTTCTCTTTGTCTTTTGTTGTTTGATTAGACACCGCAGCAGGAATATTAGGCTGCTGTCACTTTAAGAGCTGCACAGATCCAATATACTGTTATGCGTTTTCTTTGTCAACTGTTTACGTTCACTTAAAGGGATAGTTCACTTTGAAATTTTTTTTTGGTATGTTTTAGCTTACCTCAAGGGCATCCAAGATGTAGGTGTCTTTGTTTCCGCAGTAATTTCAATTTTGATATTTTTAGGTCAAACTGTTCTTCTCTGTCAGTCATATAATGCAGGTCTATGGTCACCACCTCAAAGAGCATGCACAGAGAAGTCCAAATTAAACATGATTTAATGACTCGTAAATGTAAGTACACATTGATGGCCTAAGACACGAAACGAGCGGTTTGTGTGAGTAAATGAACAGTATTTATATCGTTTTTACCTCTTGTAACACAGCCACATCCAAGTGATCTGATGGGAAAGCGCCGAAAAGCGCCGGAAGTGATCTCTCGCGCGTGTACGTCACTCATTGTTTACACAGAGCAGAGATTGTAGGTAAGACGGCTAATTAAAATGGTACTAATTTGCGCTTATCCGGGATGTTTAAACCGTCGTAAAAGAAAACAATTAAAAAATAAATAAATAAAACAATTGTATGAGTGACGTACACGCGCGAGAGATCACTTCCGGCGCTTTCCGGAAAAGACCGAAGCGCCGGCGCCCTCAGATCACTTGGACGACGCTGTGTTTACAAGAGGTAAAAACGATATAAATATTGTTAGTTTTCTCACACAAACCGCTCGTTTCGTGTCTTAGGCCATCAATGTGTACTTACATTTACGAGTCATTAAATCATGTTTAATTTGGACTTCTCTGTGCATGCTCTTTGAGGAAGTTACCATAGACCTGCATTATATGACTAACAGACAACAACGGTTTGACCTAAAAATATCAAAATTGAAACTACTGCGGAAACAAAGACACCTACATCTTGGATGCCCTTGAGGTAAGCTAAAACATACCAAAAATTAATTCCAAAGTGAACTATCACTTTAAGACATAACGACTGTGGTTACAAGAATATTTTGACATGTTTATGCGATTATTTGTCCGTTCAAGGTTTAAAAGACGTGCAAGGGAACTAAGTTCACTATATAGTATGAGAGGCGGCTTTCTGTGCTCACGTTTTGGATGTGTGCTCAGCACAGGAAAAAAGTGTGCGGGTCTTTATGCGCTTGAATGGTTTAAAGTCATATTAAAATGCACACAAAGGAATCGATAAGAGGAATACAATTCTTATTTTATAACAAGCACCTGATTCCTGACCTTTAGGATCCAATTCCAGAAATTGATTTTTTCGATTTTTGATTCCCAACCTTATCACAGACTAAGCATTTTTATTTCATGACAGATCCTTCTTGCTCTCGTTTCCCTGCTGTTCACCTCACCTCTCCTATACTGCTGCTTTAACCGCAGTCCTCTCCTCCTCTCCTCTTATAGCTGACGCTTCAGCCAGCCTCGGCTCGGAGCGATCTGCTCTTGCTAGAAAGCGCTTCACCTTACAGGGCCTGTCAAACCGCAGGTCTCTTCCCGCAGGTAACGGCACAGCACCATGGCTCGTCTCTATTTGGACTCATCTATCATCTCATTCTGATGTGTGCCTGTTGCCCCTGTTGTTAAAATTCATTGTCATCACTCTCTGTCAGTCGTCTCCGAGATCACTTATTGCCTTTTTTTGACTTCTGAAAGGAATGTGGGAACCTCAAGAGCTTTGTCATCGTATAACATTCGAATTCTCTGAGGAATTTGAATTGTGTGCAAAGCAGGTCAGCCTCCGCTGAAGACAACAGAAGAACTGAGATACTCAAACGTCATAGAGTGTAGTGTTACACTGAGCTTACACTATTTTCTTGACATTTTCAAAACAGTACTGGCATTTTAGTAGGATGTTTCTAATTCATAGGTGCCATCGACTTGAATTGCCTAAAGGCCAAAGCAAGGCCAACTGTCCGTCTGTCTGTAAAATCTCTGTCAAGTCGGCAAGTTTTGTAAAATTACAGTTAGGTAAATTTCTTTGATTTTTATTTGATTTATTTTAATTCTACATCTTCCAAATACATCCACAGTCATTCTCTGCTATTCTTTTTTTACTTCATTTTGTGTTAAAATAAACATCTAACTTCCCACCTTAACTTTAGTTCAGTAGATACACTGTAAAAAAATTGCTGTAGTTATGCAGCTGTTTGCCAGTAACTTACTGTAGATTTAAATTGATGTATATTTACTGGCAACAGTTTGTTCAAAGTTAAATGAACATTAAATATTAACAAGTCTTTGTCTTTACAGAATAAAATTATAAAAAAACAATCTAATGCAAAGCATTCTGGGAACCAGAAATCTTCTTCAACCTTTTTTTTTTTTCAGATTTTGGTTCCCAGAATGCTTTGCATGAGGCTGTTATTTTAGTTTTATTCTGTAAAGATAAAGACTTGTTAATGTTTAATGTTCATTTAACTTTGAACAAACTGTTGCCAGTAAATAACATAAATTTAAAACTACAGTAAGTTACTGGCAAGCAGCTGCCAGTAATACTGTAATTTCTACAGATTTTTTTTACAGTGTAGAAAAGTAAAGAGAGAGATCAACAGGAAAGAAATGAGAGAGAGCAGGAAACCGTATTCGGCGTGAACTCCGCCACCCACAAAATAACCATTGCTCAACATGTCAGAGAATGTGCGCTAACTTCCATCCGCCTGTCTCTCATTTCACCCCTTCATCCGGTTTTCTCTTAAATCAGACTAACTACTAACCCATCCCTACCTTTGACTTCAGAAGCTGCAGCTAAGGAGACTGAAGTCACACGCCGCTTTTCTTTAGCCTCGACTGTCAGCTCCGCCTCTGCACCGCGCACTAAAGGTACAAAAAACTGCTTGTGTGGTTTTACTCACGTGCATGATCACCTCTGAACACATATGTGAACTAACAATTTACTTCATACATTCAGGATAACAGCGTTAAGGTAAAGAGGACAAACGTTATAGTGCAACTGAACTGTGCATATGCATTTTAGACACATTATTCTTGCTCCCCACATGCAGTAAATGCATGTCCTTGAATGAGCAGAGATTTCTACTGATATTGAGAAATATTAGATATTTACCTTATATTCAACTACTCAGGTAATGTCAGTGGGATGTGGTATGTTATATATATATATGGGTGGGCCTGTCCCACCTATTCAATGCCTTAGCACACTGGCAACCCAATATCCCAACTCTGGCCCAATCTGAAAGTCCTGTAGCCCACCTTACAACTGAAACTGGCATTGTTATACACTTTTGGTATTTTACTTATCAACCTTTGACATCTCAAGCTCCTTCATTGCTGCTCATATAAAATGTTTGAAATGCAAAGAATCAAACTGTGCACTTTGTAGCAAATTAATCTCCTAAAAAACATGAAGAGACAGCTGCACTGAATAATAAATACTGACTCTTGATAAGTTGACATTTGGGATCTGGCATGACATTTAGCAGTGAAGCCCCGCTGCGCAGCTCTGGGAATGTGAATGAGAATTTAGATGCACATGAGCCTTTTGTTTCTTGTGGGCCCATTATTCTCTTTTATTGCGATGAAAGCGTTGCAACTGCAGGGGGATAATGAAAAATTAGTGTGATTATTAATCTGGGATGGATAGGTTGAAAGAATGTGATAGATGAGCTGGACTTCTTTCCTAAAAGAAATGCATGTTTGTGCTTAGTTCCTCTCTCCTCTAGCCTTAAGAGCAAGAGGCATCAGATCAAGAGCGACCCTACACCTTTTGGCTATGAAGGTACCACATGGAAAGCACGGCATGTTGCATGCTGAAAATAGTCCTTGTAAGATGTTGTTGTTTTTTGGTTTGTTTTTATTTATTTATTGTCTATAGTAAGAGGCCAGATGGTTTTATTCAAAGCAACAGGACACTATTTACAGTTGTTCTGGAACAATTTGGAGTTAAGGATACCATGGAAGTATGTGATCTTCTAAAAAGAGATCACCGGACCTGAACCTTAGACTTTTTGGTTTACATTCATTAACAGGGCTATACATATTTAAAAAAAAATATATATATATATGTGTATGTATGTGTACTGTACATACACACACTCACATTAGTGCTGTCAAATCGATTAATCACATCTAACATAATAATATATATATGCATACATACAGTATACACATATATTATATATATAAACTTTGTTAGATGCAATTAATTGCGATTTATCGATTTGACAGCACTAATATATAGTATATATATATACTATATATATACACACACACACTCACACACATTTATATGGATTGACAGATATAGATTCAAATATATATTTTTACATGCATTTATTTAAAAAGTGTTTATAATTTAAATTTTTACTTTCTAATTTTAAAATATAAAATGTATTATATTTATAATAATAATATATGTATTATTTACATCTATAACAGGGCTCAATAGAAAAAAAATACATTATAATGAATAATTTTAATTAATTTAAAATAGATTTGTACATGTATTTCTTACATGCTAATATTTATTGAACTTTTTTCATAATTTTTTCATTGAATATTTATTTAAGTTAATCTTGACTCAAATCTGCAAGAACAGTCTGAAATTATACAGCTATTATAATCATACGAGAAACTCCAAGAAAGCCATAAATTCCTTTACTGAAAAATGATGGCACGCATCGCCAAACATTACTGATTTGTAATTTCCATCCCATTCTTACAGATGCTACCAACACTTGCAGTTTTGAAAAAGCCTTATCTGTTGTTTAGCCTGCATTAATCTACCAGATTTCAAGCTTGTTTTGATCTATCTATTCTGATTTCAAGTGTTTATGCCTGCACTGTGGTGTTTTGGTGGTGGTTTTCAGTTCATATCAAGTGTGCATCATCCTCCAAATCTATTGTTTCCCTCTTGCTGGGTTCTCTGTTTCTCGGATACTGTTGTGTACATTTCAGTGGGTGCGACTGACTGGCTGATTTGTGCATGATAATGTGAGGTTTCGTTTTCACATGCATCACTACTATCATAGAGGTCATGTTTGATAAGAATTTTCTCACAGACACCATGCGAGGTGCACTTCCCGCTGAGAGCAAAAGTAAAGGTACCGCCGGTACCAAGCCCGCTGTGCCGAGGTCTGCGTCTCAACCAGGTAATCATGAGAAACAGGCAGTGATATGCCAATCATATTGGGTTCTCTCAGGTGTTTTCGTCTATTTTCATTCCTCATTCGATGCCTGACAGTGACAGAATCAGTCAGAGTTATTTTCATTGAGTGCGTCAACATCTTGTCTACCTTTCACAGAAGGTTTTTTTTTTTTTTGCAAACTCAAGCACTATTCCCTGAGTGTCGTCGCTCGTAAGGTTTTTACTGAATGATGTTAACTCGTGTGTATTATTTTCCAGGATGGAATCAACGGCGTCTGCCATCAATGGACGCTGAGGATTTTGAGACCATTCCTTCTAGTGCTGAAGAACTCTCCATTTCCTCAGATGGAGAGGATGAAGGACATAACAAAAACGTAAACGTCTTCATCCACATTTTGTCCACATATCTCGTCTTCCAATTTTGTATTGAGGGTCAATATTATAGGATAATAGTAAAGAATAGAATTCACCAGAAAAAAAGATTTCTGCCATCATTTAATCTCTCATGTCAATAATAGTAATAATAATTATTAATATTTTAATATAAAAATGATCATTTTTGCATTTATTTAATATATATTTTAACTTATTTTAAAATATCACTTACTATTTCACACACATTAAATATTTTCACAGAATATTACGGTTTCTTTTTAAGAAATTGGCAAGAATACCCGTAGTTTAAAATGAGACTGTTTAAACAATTTTAACCAAAAAAAAAAAAGAAAAGAAAGAAGATATTTTGAAAAATGTCTCAATGTCATTTGGACCTCACTGACTTTTAAAATGTCATCATTTTCAAAATATCTACCACAGAAGACAGAAAAAGAAGAGGTTTGGAATGGCATGAGGTTGAGTAAAGTAACTTTTGGTTTAAAGGGATAGTTCACCCAAAAATGTAATTGTCGTTCCAAACACGTAAGACTTTCATTCATCTTCGGAACACAAATAGAGTTTCTGTCCCTCCATTCTTGTCCCTCCGTTTACCACAACTGATGTGTGAGTTGATGAATGTGTATATGTGAATAAAAGCTTGATTCAATCAGTTCATCATATAAAGCGATCATGTCTCTTCAGAAAATTTGGATGTAACCGCTCAATTCATATGGATTAGTTTTACGACGTCTTTATGAACTACAGTGGTAGTTGCGTAGATAGTCAATGGAGGGACAGAAATCTCTCAGATTTCATCAAAAACATCTTTATTTGTATTCCGAAGATGAACGAAAATCGTATAGGTTTGGAACCACATAAGGTTGAGTAATTAATCACAAAATTTTCATTTTTGGGTGAACTATCCCTTTAACTGTCCCTTTTAAAATAAAAAAAGAGATTTTTTTGCTGATTTTAGGTGAGCTCAGATAAAAGATAGCAACATTTTACAGTTAATACAGAAAGGAGGCCAGATTATCTTTGACTCTTAAACACCCTGAGGAGTTTCTCTGTGTTTAATCCCGCCTGATGCATGAGGAGTGGAGATCTGCTTCAGAAGTGAGGCTTAATAGCAGCTATGCAGCATAAAGTTCATTCAGAACCTCTTTAATGGAGGCCAGAGGGAATTAAACTGCACATACAGGGCTCCTACCACCAGAGGGCATCCTTGAATAAACAACTGATGAGATTTCTCAGATAAGAGTGACTAAACGCAGGCCTTTGTATGAATCTAACTTTTCCTAACCCAGTTCCAATAAACCCAAAAACTGATGCCATGACCCTGAAATAAATGATGCACTTCTTTGTCTCTCTCTTAAGGGGGATAATGATCGCTATCAGGTGCAGCTGACATACGAGTCGGGAACCGCCCAGGATCTTTCCGTAGAGGCTGGAGAGTTAGTACAATTCCTGGAAGAGTCGGAGAATGGCCACTGGTGAGTAATGAGAAAAGTCTCCATCCAGATATATTCCTGCAGGAGTCACATGATACAGTCGTTCACTAAAAACCTGACAATCACTAACGAAACTCTCACGTAGCTCATTTTGTTTGAGCTCTCATTGTTGGTTCTCTTAGAAGGTTTTGCTTTTAAATACCCCACACAGTCAAAGTAAGAGTTTCATCTTTTTTTTTTATCAGAATCAGTAATTTGTTGATTTTATTTAACCAAGCCAGTCTCTATTTAGAAATTGGACTGTCAAATTTCTTGTCATTTTTTTGTTGTTGTCCGGATCGGTTTATTATGATGCGTCTATTTTTATTTTTTATAATAAAAGTAATTTTTGTCAGTGTGATAAAACTGCCCTGATGTTAATGAAGAAAAGAAAAAAAAGCTCATTCAATTAATAATATTCTTGAAGAGAACAAAATATATTTCACCAAAACTGCTTCACTGCTTATTAATATTTGAAAAACCCAAAAGGCATGTAGAGCAACCGACAGGCAGAAACGTGAAAAAGCATAGAACAGGAAATGATATTCCAGAGACACCTTCCGAACACCTAAAGTCCCTTAAAATATAATTTTATCCTCTCTTTAATTTTTAAAATATTAATTTTTTTGATGGGCAAGTCCCAACCCAACACACATACATATGTATACAGTCTTGGGCAAGTTACTCCAAAAAAAATCATTTATTTACTATCTAGTACTGTACTAATAACTCTCTCTAAAAGTATTGGATTACTTTATAAATCCCATATCAACCTCGACCAGATGAACAATACAAGGATAAACACGAAACTGCACTTTTAATTCTTTCAAATAAACAACATGCAATTGCATAAATTATTTTTGACCTGACCAAAGTGTGTAAAGGGAGAAACATACATTTTAACATTACATTTAAATGTTAAATGCACTATTGAATTGTTGTACACTACCGTATTTAATGCAATAACATCAGAAGTAACTGTAATTAAAGAGTAATCCTTTACTTTTTCAAGGGAAAATAAATGATATGATATTTTAGTAAATGAGTAAGTTGAGTATTAAGTTGAGTAAATTCACGTGTGCAGTGTGCAAGGAAAATCTGTTATGCCAAATGGCATTTTCAGAGTTGTTTAATTGAAACTTCTTAAATGGTTGGTGAAACCAACATTTCTAAGTGCATTTATAAGAAAATGGCTATTTTTTCTTATTTATTATTCTTTTTACACCCTTATTTGTCATTTACCCAATTGCATTAAACAAGCCAAGATGAAAGAGAGGTTTCACAGGGTTCTAATACTTTTGGGGGTGCTAAATACCACCTAATCTAAAATTTCTTCACTAAAATGAAAAAGCCAGACATATTCTGAAGTCTCTCATACATATTTAATCTTGAAAACTGTCTCCAGTCATTTTTCTGCTTTGTAGAGAAGTTTTCTTTGCTCACCAATCAACCCCCTCAAACCCTTCATAATAAGTTTTCAGGCTTTCGTGGATGTTTTGACATTGTGCAGAGTCAAGCTAAAGTTAAGGTAGCTTGAACCACAGGATTCTAGAGTTTGCTCAGTTGTGTCAGGAGGAGTGTATGCGATACACAGCCAAAAAACTAGATGTGGTTGGACTGTACTATCTACATTGATATTGCTCGCCAATATCACAACATAATCCCAGTATCCCATGGCGTAACCAATAAAACTCAGTTTTAACCTGCATCATGTTCAACTTTCACAGTCTACTCTTATTAAACTTGACGCAAACAGGACATGTTCTACTGTATTATCCATGTTGGTCCTGGAAAATTATTCAGATCTGCACTGTAAAAAAAGAAGAAGAAGAAGAAGCAGTTTTCAAGGTTTTTTTTATGTTATACAAGATTCAACTCATTTTTTAAAGTCGGTTTAATGTAATTTAAGTTGAAATGACTTAAACATCTAAGTTTATTGTACTTAAAAATTTAAGCCAGCAATTTTTTTTTTACAGTGCGGTCTCCTAGAATCAGGGATTAAATCGACAGTTATTTCTATTGATGTGCTTTTCCCCCCGGTGCACATAATGTCCGAATTCGCTCACTCGTTTTCATTCACTCCTTTAAATCGACTGCATTAGTGAAGTAATGTATAGGGAATAGTGAATGAGGGTATAGGGGGTGATTTCAAACACAGCTTTAGTTTTTCCTCCTATCTCAATTTTCACATTACCATGTTCCTCTATGGGAACCTTAAAAAATGAATAAAACCAAACTGAATGGATGTAGCTTAACCTATAACTATGATGGCCATAGGTGCACAACACAATACAATTTACAGAGCAAATATATTTTTAAATGCTACTAAATTAAGTCACAAAACACGAAACTTCTCCAGACCACAAGGGGGCAGTGTCAACGTCAATGTTATGGATTTAAATGAACTAAATATACTTTTTAGATCAGACGTTTGTCCATTACAATGTACTGTCCTGCTGGAAACACGTAGATCAGATTTGGATACTCAGCTGTGTTTCTCTTGTGTTGTGGCTTCATTTTTTGCTTAGTACATTGTTTTGTGTTGTGGGCCACCACATATAACAGGTCCATCAAACCTCTTTCGTCGTTTGAATGAAAATTCCAAGGAATCAGCCAATCATGTTGAGCTCCAGGTTCTCTATGTTCGTGCTGCCGTTGAAGATGAACACTGTCTCTCATGTTCTAGGCTAGTCAAGAACCTTAGAACTCAGAAGACAGGGCTGGTGCCGCCCACTGTCCTGCAGTCCACAGCAGAAGAAGTAGACCTTTACAGTAACTCTGGTACCGCACACCAATCCCAGGAAGAGCAGCAGAAGGGCATGACTGACATCACCACTCTGGACACACTTAGTTCAGACTGATGGTCACCATAAAATTCAATCATATATTTAGCGCATACTCTATGAGGATTACATCTTTTATGGCGATGCATTAGACGATGCACTTTGACCTCTCATGTCACTCTGCCCCTTCTCGCTCTTACACATATCTTACATGTGAATGCACACAAGACACCGTCGTGAAACACACCGGCTGTAATTTGAGATCTAGGTCAGTGGACGGCGAGACTGACGGAGGCACCTGTTTGCAGTCTGCTTCTTTTTTTTCTTTTTTTTTTTAAGAGGTGTGCATGACATCACCTCCACAGGCATGCACTTCATTCCATGAAACCTTGGCGTGCACATAATGCCACTCTCGGTCTTGTTTGACTGGTTTTCTCAGACTTTTGCTATACTAATAACAAGGTGCTGCATATAAAGCTTTGACTAAGAGCAGAGGCAGCTCTGGACTCAACTGTGAGGATGTTTGCCCTGTTAACACTGACCACAGAATATATGCATACAGTAACAACTGTAATAATGTGAGATGATATTACAATTTAAAATAACTCTTTTGTATTTTAATACATTTAAAATATATTGATTAAAACAGCTGTGCTGCTTAATATTTCATCACAAAATATTCAAGATTCTTTGATTAATTAATTCATCTAATTAATTATAATTTTTTATGTATATATTTTTTATATTATTTTGTGACAATGTTAAAAGTCTTCACTGTCACTTTTGGTCAATAAATTGCTGAATTAAGGTAATAATTTAGGATTAATAATAATAATAAAACAAATTATTAAAAATTGTGAATGTAAAAGTCCTTTCTGTCACTTCTGGTCAATACATAGCTGAATGATGGTAATAATTTAGGATTAATAATAATAATAATAAAACAAATTATTAAAAATTGTGGATGTAAAAGTCTTTACTGTCACTTCTGGTCAATACATAGCTGAATCATGGTAATAATTTAGGATTAATAAAAAAATAAAAAAATATGTTTGAAAACATTACTATTTTTAATGTTTTTAAAAGAAGTATCTCATGCACATCAAGCCTGCATTTATTTAATCAAAAATGCAGAAAAAGACAGTAATATTGTGAAATATTATTACAATCTAAAATAATGGTTTTCTATTTTAATATACTTTAATATAATATATTTCTGTGAAGCAAAGCTGAATTTTCAGCATTATTACTCCAGTCTTCAGTGTCACATGATCCTTCAGAAAGCATTCAAATATTCTGATTTGATGTTCAATAATCAATGTTGGAAACAGTTTTGCTGCTTAATATATTTTTGGAACCTGTGATACTTATTTTCAGGATTCGTTGATGAATAAATAGTTAAAAAAGAGCAGCATTTATTCAAAATAGAAATCTTTTCTAACATAATCACGTTTAATCAATTTAACACATCCTTGCTGAATAAAAGTATTATTTTTATACAGTATTATTATACAGAAAAAATAAACACCGACCCCAAACTTTTGAACGGTAGTGTATATTATTACAAATTACATATAGTTTTTAAACTTTTTATTTATCAAAGAATCCTGAAAAAAGTATCACAGGTTATAAAAATACATATATTAAGCAGCACAATTGCTTCCAACATTAATACATCAGCATATTAGAATGATTTCTGAAGGATCATGTGACCCTGAAGACTGGAGTAATGATGCTGAGAATTCAGCTTTGCTTCACAGAAATCCTTATCCAATAGATTCATCCTCATAGTTGAGCCCTGCAGCTGGTTGGAGCTGATTCCGAATATACTGAAGTGTTTGTATGTTTTTCATGTTGCGCTTCAAGCTTCTTCGCCTGTTCTGACCACAGCAGGAACCAAACTCCAAACAAGAAAACAGAAAAGACCTTCAGAGTAATTACTGTGCTTACGTCTTTTGAAATGGGATGAGCGTTTCAAACTCTTCTCTGAAGGTTTGCGTCTTTGTCGTGTCTTTTCTCTTTTGTATATGGAGCTTGTCCTTGCTGTGATCGAGTGCTGTTGCAAGGTCTGTTTTTGTCTGCCACCTGTTTACTGTTGCTCTGAATGAAAAGACTGTACGTTACATAACTAAACTTCTCTGTTTATTTCATTTCAGATATTTTCAGTGACCTCTGCACAGCTGCCCTCACCAATACCGAGGACGCAGACGACACACGCTGAACGTCCCGTGTAATGTGTCCTCGCCCCCTCCCCCTCCTCCGGCGCTGACTTGACACTGACAACATTCTGCAGTCGCGAGTCAGAAAATTCAGCATGCAGCCTTCGTGCGTTCACTCTGCTGTGCCTTAGCAGCAAATGCAGGGGTATTTGAAGAGAAATATCCGGATATAACCGCAAAGGACCTCTGTGAACACGGGGCGTTGTGCTGTATGATATCAGCACTGAGGTGCAGGCCATTTGAAAACACTGAGAGAAAGAGACTCGAGACCGTTCCGTCCTGCTGAAACTTCCACTGAAATGCTTACTTGATTTGTTTTGTTGTTTATGAGACTGTTGGTCAGAAACACAGCACTTTTGATGAATTAATATTCTCTAATGTACAATATTTATACTCTCTTTTTTATATTCTGACGTGAACGTCGCATAAGCCATCTGTAAAGCTTCGTTGCTCTGCTGTTTGGAAAGCTGAAATATCTGTAATCCTCCTTGAATATTTGCCTATATACGTGATATATATTCATCTCTATCATGGTCTGGTTGTAAATAATCTCGAAACGTAGTAAAAATGTGTAATATTTACAGATTTTTTTATATATATATTTCAGAAAATGATTGTTGTAGCATAAATATTCCAGCTTTGCTGTTGTTTTGCAGTTCTGCTCATGAATGTTGTCAGTTTGTGCTAAAAAGTAACCGAATCCAATACAGAAGTCAGATGTACTGTATCCTTCCTGCTATGACATGAAGAACCGGACCGCAGTTTGACAGTGAATGTAGTAATGATGCCAAATGTTTCGTCTCATAACCGTAAATATCCACATATGATTGCGATTTAAATGTAGTCAGTAGTTTGATTACTTTCTGGTATCTATCTTGAGTTGCTTTATTTGTTTGTATGTAAATATCGAAGCACAAAGATTTGTTATTGAATGCCGATGTAATTCTTGGTATCATCATTCTGTGCATAAATATGTGAATATTTTGCTTTTCAAAGCTTCCCAATGGACAATATTACAGCTGATGAGAATATGTATTACATAACTCTGTAGATTTTCATATGCATAATGAAATACATTCATTGCAAAACCATATGACTTTTCATACGGAGACTATGAAGCCTCAACCGAAGTTTGATAAATGTGATGAAAATGTAATAAAATGAACAAAATCTTCTCCGCGGATCCCTTTGAGAACCTTCAGGAACTTCTGGTTGAGAACTGTGTTCCATCAGGCTGTTTTTGGTTGTAATTGGAAGCTTTTTTTAAGAGAGTGTGTGACAGAGAAGAGCCAGTCTGAGAGAAGGACAGCGAGGAGAGAGAGGGACAGGCAAGATTCCCTTGGCTTTGTTCTACAGAGGATGCTTTCAAACTCCCCAAAAACTCCTGAGGGGCGGCAGGAGAGTAAAGCAGGAGAGAGCGGGACACAAAGACCCAGAGAGATGTGACAAGCCTTGAAACCGAATTTAAAAAAAAGAGCACTCCAGCAGCCTTCACTTTGGCTTCAGGTGTCTAAAGATTTTGAAGACACCTGGCAGTCTATTCATCAGGAGTCGTTCCTGCCCGAAACCAGGCCGGGCAGAAGAAAGAATGAGACTTCTGTCAGCAGGAAAGGGGCTGCTCTTTTGGATGAGCGGAGGGCATTTAAACGGCTGATAATGGGGCAGGATCACACCAGGACAGTGCAGGATGATAGGTTTTAATCTTTCGGACAAAAGAGTTCACATTTGAGATGTGAGTGAATGCTAAGGAAATAAACCACATTTCATAATTTAATCATGCATTCGTTTGTTTTCATACATGGTCTTTATTTAGTTTGATTCACCTTATAAAAATGTACTATAGCCTACCGTATTTTTCATTAAAATACAACTGTTATTACAGTTGTAGTTGCTATAAAACCATAGGATAAAAAATAATAATATGATTTTCCAGTGTGGATGCATATTTTTTGATAATATAATATAGGTAACACTTTATTTCAATAGTCTTTAGACATTCTAGTAACTTTCCAACTATATAATAACTGTCATTAGATGATTAGTAGAATGTCTGCTTAATATCTGCTAAAACTTTATTGTGATGCTCCCCTAACAGACATTCTGACTATAAGCAACTACAAGTCAACTTGTTCTACTAACCCGAAGTAGTAAAGTAAGTAAAGTTTATTTCTAAAGCGCTTTTCACAGATAAAATCACAAAGTGCTGTACACGAGAAAGGTAAAAACAAAACCTTGTATATACAGTACATATGTAAAATCAAAGTGACACTAGTTAAAACCCATCAACCAAAAGCTTTCTTAAATAAACAAGTCTTCAGATCTTTTTTAAAAGAGTCAACAGAGTCAGCCAGACGCAGAGACAGGGGCAGGGCGTTCCACAGTCTGGGGGCCGTCCACACTACTGCGTTTTCGTTTAAAAACGGAGACCTTTTGCTACGTTTGCAACTCCCGTCCACACTAAAATGGAAAAAACGAAGACCTAAAACGGAGAAGTTTAGAAATGCTGCAGCTCCGTTTTGCGTTTTGAATCTCCGGAGGGCGTTTTAGTGAAGACGGGACAAAACGGAGGACTTCAGAAACGATGACGCAGAGGCTCACGCTCGGCTCTATCCACGTTTTCAGGCGTTTTAATGTGGACGGAGATCAATTCTAATACGCAGATAAAACGCTGGTGTGTACGGAGATCGTCGTTTTAATTCTCCGTTTTTAAACGAAAACGCAGTAGTGTGGACGGGGCCTGAAAAGACAGGTCCCCTCGGGTCTTATAACGAGTCTTGGGGACCATAAGAAGGTTCTGGCCAGAAGACCGAAGAGTGCGGCTAGAGGAGTGCGGACTCAAAAGGTCCTTGATGTACTGTGAACTTTTTTTGTGACTGTTAAAGGCCCTGAAAGTCAGCACTAAAATCTTAAAATCAATCCTATATTTTACAGGGAGCCAGTGGAGAGTCAACAAAACGGGAGTGATATGAGACCTTCTGGGGGCACCAGTTAAAAGTCTAGCATCACAATTTTGGACCATTTGCAGTTTGTTCAGAGCAGACTTATTTAAGAAAGTAAAGACAGAGTTGCAATAATCAAGTCTAGTTGATATGAAAGCATGAATAATAATTTCCAGATCATTCTTTGACAACATTTTGCGTATTTTAGAGATATTCCTGAGGTGATAAAAAGCAGTTTCGGACAAGCTGTTTTGAGTGTATCTCCAAAGACATGGCCTGGTCAAACACAACCCCCAGGTTCCTGAGGCTGGATTTGACAGAGGAGCCAAGAGAGCCAAGGTGCTGTTTGATCACCGGGATCTTATGGTCTGGAGCAAAGATCAATGTTTCAGTCTTACTAGGTTAGTGGCCAGCCAGTCTTTGATAGAGGACACACACTCTAAGAACAGTGACAATCGATGGAACTCAGCATCATTGAAAGAACAATACAACTGGACATCATCGGCATAGAGATGATAGGATACATCCTTAAAACAACCCATAATATGACCAAGTGCATGGCAAAATGTACAGTAAAAACAAAATAGGGCCCAAAACTGACCCTTGTGCCACTCCGCAGGACAAATTGGTCACATCTGACTGTGCATTGTTTATAGAAACATTAAAGGTTCTGTCTTGAATATCGGAAGAGAACCACTGGAGGACAGATCCAGATAGTCCCATCTCATTTTGAAGCCGGTTGATCAGTATACTGTGATCTACCGTGTCAAAAGCAGAACTCAAATCGAGAAGTACAAGTACAGTGTAGCGGCCAGTGTCCGCTGCCATCATCACATCACTAGAGATTTTGATAAGAGCTGTTTCAGTGGAGTGCATTTTCCGGAAACCAGACTGAAAAATATATTCAGTTTGGAATATATTTTGGAAAATTTTGGAAATAAATGGAAGTTTTGATATGGGCCTATAATTATTAGGTTCTGAAGGGTCAAGATTGGGCTTTTTAAGGATCGGGTTTACCACAGCGTGTTTGAAGTAGCTGGGGACTGAGCCAGATGTAAGTGACAGATTAATTATTTTTACCACACAGGGGCCAACGATATCGAACATTTTCAACAACAGGGGTGTTGGGATATTGTCAGCGGGGCTGGAAGATGGTTTCATATTTCCTATTAATGTCTTCACATCCTGTAGGCTGACAGGAGTAAAAGATGACCAAGACAACAACATTGAGCATTCAGTAGAACACACAGTGATTAGGGGAACTTTGACACTGGCCCTAATGTTGTGTACTTTGTTCACAAAAAATGACAAAAAGTTGTTACAGTCTTCATGTGTGTACACAGGCACAAGAGGAGCTGAAGGTGCAGTTAGATTTTTGATGGTGTCAAACAAGACTTTAGGATTTTTCTTATTACCTGACATAAGTTTGGAAAAATAAGCCGAGCGAGCCTGCTTTATCAACTCATTCAGATCCAGTATCATATATTTTAAATGGAGTCTGTGTACCTCTAATTTAGTTGTTTTCTTACGACATTTTCTCCTAAAACTACAAATGTTATCATTCATCCATGGGAGGGCTTTTTTACGTGACCCTGAAATGTTTTTAACAGGCGCTACCATGCAAAACTAACCGACAGTGGTTGTTGAAACTTTGCACAAATGAATCAACATTCTCACAATCAACAAAAGAGCGAGAGTCAAAGGAGGCAGAGAAATCACTAAGTGTTGTCTCACTAATGATGCGTTTTTGTGTTACAACATTGCAGACAGTAGGCATCATGATAAGTGACAAATTAAAAGATATACAACAATGGGCACTACTATTAAATTCCTCCACACTCAGTTTATCAATGGTTAGGCCACAAAGACCAGATCTAACGTGTGACCTTTTTATGTGTGGGGCCAGAAATATGCTGTACAAAATTAAACGAGTCCATGGTAGGCTAGTCAACAATTCAGCTGCAATCGAACCAGTGGGATCATCAATATGCAGATTATAAGTCCCCAAGGACTAAAACGCGATCTAGTTTTATGATAGACGTTAAAAACTCAGAGAAATCATCGAGAAATGTGCGTGCAGGACCCGGAGGTCGGTAAACTAAAACACAGTAATAGGGGTGTGGTTTCCCAACCTTACACATCTGCATCTCAAAGGAGTCGAAAGAAGCTGTGTCGTGTGTCCGAACTGCAGCAGAAAGAGTCACGAAAGACCGCCTCCACGTCGCCCGAGCCGGGGAGTCCCAAACACGGAGCAGTCCGCGGCGGGGCATAGTTCTTTAAGATGGAAGTGAACGTTCTCCCTCTGCCAAGTCTTCGTAATGAACATAAAACCCTAACACCTAACCATAAAAAGTATTGACTTAAGAAACACATATATTTTCAATAAATCATGTTCCCATATGATTCACACTAAATTCTATTTATAAGCAAAAGGTAAAATTTTTTTTTTTTTTTTTTTTTTTTTTACATTTTTAGGCATTATCAATCCCAATGCCTGATGCCAAAATGTTTTATTTGTTCACCAAGTAATTTCCTGGTCAGGTATGTTTTGTTAACTCGCAAGACAGTAAGGAGAAAATGACAATTTGATGGATGATTTAACATATAAATAGTCCTAACACTTTTTTAATAGCCCACTTAAAGTGTTTATTACAAATGAATGATTAAATGCTTAAAATTAATAAAAGTAAATTAACAAAAATTTGCGTTATATTTAAACTCATGAACGCCCGCCATTAACACCTGAACGCCCCCCTTTCAAAAATCTTGCTTCCAACGCCCCCCCCCCCCCCCCCCCCCGTTGTTCTCTGAACGCCCCCGTTGAGAACCACTTATTTACATGAATCATAGGCTAATTCGTAATGTGTAAACGAATGTGATGAGAGAAGAAATGTTCTGAATTATAGACATTAATGTGTGCATTTTTTAAACAAAAATAAAATATTATACGCAAATAGTTTCAATTGATTACTTTACAACTTTTAGACCTAACTTATTTTTGCTGTTTTCTTTATTACCTCAAATCCCCTAAATTATTTGAGTCCTTTAAAATACCAATTACCCCCCCCCCCCCCAAAAAGAGAAATTGACCCCAAAATAATGTATTATATTATAATATATTATAATACAGTTTCTACAATACCAAAGAAAATCCCATATGAAACTATATATTATATTATAAATGGATATATAGCCTACAATAAATGTATATCGATGGAAACTATGGTTAGCATGGTAAAGTTTGTAAGGCACATAGACATACATTTACCTGAGGCTAAACAATGATTTTCATTGTTTTATTGATTATTAACATTGTCTTTTAGTTCGCAACTTTTTTGTATTTTTATGAATTACATTGCAATTTTATGTTTAAATCAGTATCTTGTGTTTTATTCATAATGTTAAATACAAGCAATTTAATTAAATAATTTTGTGTCATTCTATCACGGACGGAGCCGCAGCGTGCATCACCGTTTGAATTCAAAAGCCAATCAGAGGCGTCGCTTCAGAACTTCCGCCGAGCTCTTCACTCTCAGCCAATCGGCGTTAGGCTCTCATGTTTGCTTGCTTTTTTGAATTCAGAGAGAGATTTGAGCAGAAAACCACCTATCAAATGAGCGTATACAATGGGCTTAAAATTCCCACTAAACTTATTTTCGTAACTTAACCGTATTATTTTGCACTTTGGACAAACTTTACGTGTCATTGCGACGACGGCGGTGTTTACGTTTGCAGGCGTTAGTTTTAATCAATAGTTTGGCTAACATATCCCCAGATTGCTCAGCTGGTTCGGCAACCAGCCGAACTCTCAGTGTTTCCTCATTCACCAGAACATTTTCCAGCACAAATCTGGTCTAAAGTTTTAAACGGTAAGTTTTTATTATACATTTGCTTAAAGCTAAATACAAGGATCTGTTTAAGAAGACAGTCTTTTGTTTAGAAGTTAGCTAGCCACCTCTATGCTAGCGCATGTCATTGAAGTGCATTGTATCTGCCAATCATCAGCTGTCATAGCATTGCTCTCTAAAAAGCTGACAGATCTTTACAATATGTGAAACTTTATAAAAATGTACACCCTAATGCATATACATGCAATGTTTTGTAACTCAATTGAGTTAATAAACTGCAGCAGCATTTTATTATTGTAATGCTGCATTCAGAATAATTACTCATTAGATTTATGCAGCTGTTGATTTGAATTTGAGTTGATTTGATTTTAAGAAGATTAATTTTAGTGTGTATATATATATATATATATATATATATATACACACTCACAGATTGATTCTCTTCTCCCTTTATCCTTAATTCCCTCCTAGAAGCTCGATTGATTGTTTCTTATTTTTGTGCCTGTGCTGCCCTTGTTCACTACTTTTTCTCTGGCTTCCAGCTTTTGATATTCTGGACAGGACTGGGTCGCCACCCCTTGTCACAGCGCCATGGCTGACAGCAGCATAGTTACTTTAGGGCCGGGCCGCAGCCTGCTGGTGGACTCCTCCGTTTACGACTCCCGGATGGCCGAGACCACAAAGGAGCAATTTTTCTTCGGTCTACACGCAGACGAGACAGAGGGTAAGTGAACCGCCCTCCTTCTCGGTCTACCCTATATCATTTGACATTTCTGTAGTGTGGACCGCTTTGTTGCGCACAAACATAACAAGAGTTTTTTTTTCTCCCTGTCTATTTCCATAGAGATTCACCTTTGCCTGTGGTCTTTTCTCTTTTTCAGATGCATTGCCCAGAGTTGAGACCAGGGTGGTGTTGGTGGGGGAGGCCGGCAACATCGCAGAACTTGAGAAAGCCCTTCAGGTACCGTAGAAGAAGCTATTCATATAGATTGATTTCACTGTAGCCGTAGCCATATGGTTTAAACTGAGGCAAGAGGAGATGCATTACTTTAGAATGGTCAGTTCAGTGTGAGCTCTACTGGAGAAAATAACTTTTTGAAAATCTTCTAATCTGATTAAAGGTAATTAGTTCGTTGACAGGAAGTCATTTTGTGTTGGCCAACTTAGTGCCCAGTACTATGCATGAAGGATAAACATTAAATTCTTCCGTTTGCCTGACTGAAACAATTTTTGATTGAATTTTAGGGTCATTTTAAGATCAAATTAATTCAGAGACACTTGTGTCCTTGACTGATGGTCTGAGCAGCATTAATGTAGTGCACTTACACATTTACATGTACACCATTACTCAAAGTTTGAAAGATGTCTCCTGTGCTCACCTAGGCGGTATTTATTTGATCAAAAGTACAGTGAAAACAGTATTATAGTGAAGGTTTATAACAATTTAAAAATAACTGTAGTGTTTTCCATTTGAATGTATTGTAAAATATCATTTATTCATGTGATGGATTTTCAGAAATCCTAAACATTTCTTCTTATCAACATTGAAAAAGTTAGTGCTGCGTAATTTTTCTTTGTGGAAACCGTGATATATTTTCTTTTTTAAGATTGATGAATAGAAAGTTAAAAACATTTATTTGATTTTTTTTTTTTTGCCACATTAGAAATGTATTTTTTTGTGTCAGTTTTGATTGTGTCCTTGCTGAATAACAGTATGAATAATTTCTTAAAAAAATCTTACTGACACCAAATTCATTTTAGCAGACGTGTTTACACCGTGTCCTAACTACATGCGATAAAAGGTATCTTTTCGATGTTAATCAGAGTTTTTGTCCTAGCTGGAACAACAGACACAAAGTGTGGCAATGATAGTCTCAGGTACTGTTTATGTGCTTTATTTAATGTTGAAAGCATGCAATATGACTTAATATCATTTAGTGCTCCCAGCTTTGTAGCTGTAAAAGCAACCATGGATAATTCATCTCAGATCTTGAAATTAAACAAATGGAAACAAGAATGTTCAAACTGTGATCAAAGAAGTGTATTCTTTGACAAAGATTGTTTTAGTAACTCAGTAGCCTATGTATTTTTAATAATGTTTAAATGGTGTATTTAAATCAATGTGAATTTGATTATGTAGCCTACTTATCCATATCCGCCCACTGATCGCTGTTCTGATTGGCTGTGTGTTTTGATTGATTTTGACGCATCGTGCAGTCGCGTCTAGTGTGGACAGACAAATTATTTGTTGCTGGAATCTTATCGCATCGCGTCTGGTTAGGACACGGTGTTATCCTTGGTGACTTGGAAATGCTTCAACCAGGGTCCAAATTAATGTTTTTTGGCACATTGTAATGGTAGTGACATAAGGAAATATTTGAAATAAAAATTAATTCATTTAAAAAAATCTATGATAATGGAATTGTTTTGCTATTTTATTCATTTATTTATATATTCATCCATCTATATTTTTTTGTGTCATGTCAAACGGTGTAGGTCATTGTGTTACTTTCAGCCTCATATACAAGAAGACAAAAATGAGTGTCCCCACATGGAATTCTGGAGAAACACTACTAGATCCTAGATTAACAATTGGTAAATTTTCTAATAAGATCAAATGTAAAGGATTAGTTCAATTAGTTGGGAAATGAATGCTAGTGCAAGATGAGCATTTGTGGTTGAAGTATAATTTATTTAGTTATTTTTTTTAAATAAAAATGACCGATCGTTTCGCTAGATAAGACACTTATTTCTCGGCTGGGATCATGTAGTGCCCTTTGAAAAACTGCAATTTAGACCTTCAACCCATTGGTCCCCCTTGAAGTTCACTATATGGAGAAAAATCCTGGAATGTTTTTCTCAAAAACCTTAATTTCTTTGACTAAAGAAAGAAATGAACAATTTGGATGACATGGCGTTGAGTAAATCATCAGGAAATTTTACTTTTGGAGTGACCTAATCCTTTAAGACGCCGGAGTTGAAACAGTAGTAGACATTTAGTAAGTCTTTGTTTTGAATCATGCAATGTCAGCTTGAGCCGTTTGAGCCCAGGACAGATGCAAAATTTAGATAAGTAGTCAGTAGTTTGTACGGCACCTTTGAGGATGGTGTTTTATTCTGATTCAATGCTGATGAACATATTACTCAGCATTCTTATACTGAGATGTGGTATGTGGCGGTTGGGAGTTGATGGACGAAAGGTCATGAATGTCATTTGCTCTGACAGTTTGTGTTTGGAGGGTCAATGATGGGACATTTAGGCTCAGAGCTTGATAAATGATAAAGCTGCTGGAATATGTGGATCCAGGATGAAATATTCTTATGCAGTGCATGGGGGAGGATGGGGATGTTCCTGAAATTCTCCTTTCTTTGCCCTTGACATGATGTGAGAGGACTTCAGATGTAGCTGCTTCTTTTAGTAATCTATTCTCCCTGCAACTTATTAACGTAGCAGATCTTCCTCCTGGACTTCTGTTGACATTTGTTTGAAGTTCTCATCTCGATTCTGACAAGGTTGTAAGACCCTCCTGCCTGGGAAATTCATCAGATTTGGGTTGCCAGGTTGATGTCAATTCTTCATTTTTACAGGCCATCACAATAATGGAAGTCCCGGTGGTAAAGATTAAAGAAGGGCAGCCGGGCACAGAGGCGCGTGAGAAATTGATAAAATCTATAGTCAATATGGTACGTCTCGGGATCCAGAATCTTTGCATGCTTGAGAGCACTGGGGGGATTTGCGGCATGGGGATTCGGTGGGGCACTGCGCTGTCTAATGTCGAACTCACTCACGGTGGTCTGGACTAAGTTCTAACAATGTGATCTAACAACTTGTCCTGTGTTTGTCCAACAGGTGGTCTTTAATCCATAATTAAGAATTAATTCAATCATGTAATCAACCCTTTGGTGATTAACCCCTTTTTAGTGTCATTTAATTGTTTCTTTAAATCTTTTGTTTTTACATGCAGGTAAGAATAATCTTTTCTGAAAGTAAATCCCAAAAGACAAGAATAATGGAAGTTTCTGAACTAACAGACCTCCTTTCAGTTCCCTTTAAAAATGTAAGGTGCTGTTCACACCGGACATATGCTTTTGCACTGTGTGCACATCATTATTACTATTATTATTAATTTGTACAGATTTAAATACTTTTAAACATATACATTATTTATATATATATATATATTAGGGGTGTAAAAATACTCGCATGTCACGATTCGATACATATCACGATACTGAACTCATGCATTTTTGTATTGCGATATATTATGATACCCCTAATATGTATTTATATGGGGTGTCTAATATGTCTACATATACACTGCCGTTCAAAAGTTTGGGGTCGGTACGATTTTTAATGTTTTTAAAAGAAGTCACTTATGCTCACCAATGCTGTATTTATTTCATTAAAATACAACAAAAAATCAGTAATATTGTGAAATATTATTACAATTTAAAATAACGGTTTTCGATTTTTAATATATTTTAAAATATAATTTATTCCTGTAATTTTAAAATTGAATTTTCAGCATCATTACTCCAGTCTTCAGTGTCACATGATCTTTCAGAAATCATTCTAATATGATGAATTGATGCTCAAGAAACATTTCTTATTATTATCAATGTTGAAAACAGTTATTTACATTTTTATTTAAGGATTCTTTGATAAATAGAAAGTTCAAAAGAACAGCATTTATCTGAAATAGTATCTTTTGTAACATGAAACACTACCGTTCAAAACTTTGGGGTCAGTAAGTAAGTTTATTTTATTTTTCGGGGGAAATAAATAAAATAAATCAATACTTTTATTCATCAAGGAGGAGTTAAATTGATCAAAAGTGACAGAATCTTTTATAACATTATAAATGTCTTTTAAATGCTGTTGTTTTAAACTTTCTGTTCATCAAAGAATCCTAAAAAAATGGTACACAACTGTTTTCAACATTGATCATAATGAGAAATGTTTCTTGAGCATCAAATCATCATACTAGAATGATTTCTGAAGGATCATGTGACACTGAAGACTGGAGTAATGATGCTGAAAATTCAGCTTTGATCACAGGAATAAATAATATTTTAAAATATAATTAAAATCGAAAACAGTTATTTTAAATTGTAATAATATTTTACTATCTTACTGTTTTTTGTTGTATTTTTAATGAAATAAATACAGCATTGGTGAGCATAAGTGACTTCTTTTAAAAACATAAAAAATCGTACCGACCCAAAACTTTTGAACGGCAGTGTACATATATACATACATATACATGCATAGCATACATGTACAGTATTAATTAGTACTACTATTTTAGTGTAGTATTATATTAGTTATTACTATTAATTTGTACATTTATAAAACATTAGAAGTGAGGTATTACATATTACATATTTTAAGTGAGTGCATGATAATGGCAAAAACATAGCTTCAAAATGAGCAAAAATAAAGAGCATGTATAAGTAAATGTCCTACTTTGGCAATAGCCATGGCATCAGAAAAAAGCATCTTTTCACTCTGTTCCGTCTAGCTGTCCTGTGTGAACCGTCCTTGACACTTATTTTTGTGTCACTAAATCTACATGTGACAAATGACTGCTGTCTTTCTCCAGTGTGTCATCTGTCAGAACACTTTAACATCTTTAAGATCCCTTATACTAAAGGAGATATGTCTTTGCTTTTGAGGACATGCTGATCACATTCACATTACTAATGTGTTTGTTGATCTTGTTTTCTGTCATTTTTATTTCAGTTATGAATTTTCCTCTTCATCCCATTAGGATATAAACACCCGCTGCATCAAGACTGACAATGTCAGAGATTTTGGTGACGGCGAGAATTGTGAGTTCGAGACGGTGTTTGTGTTGAAAGACTTCCAGGCTCCGGAATACAGCTTCCTGTACAAGAATGACAGCCGTATCCTGGGGCCTCCTGCCGTGATGCACTGCGCCAGCAAGGGAGAGGTAAGACCCTGAAATAAAACCACACAAGCACCCACAGGATCGCAGCCATCTTCTGGGTTTTTTCCTCCCTGACCCTGAGGTGGTGAAATGGTTTGATACTAGTAGCATCTGCTTGCCGTCATGGGTTGAGTAAAAGCCTGTTGAAATAAAGTTGTTCTTCCAACTGAAACGGATTCGTAAGCAGCTTTGATTGCTTCTGTATAGCCTGAAAAATGTTGCTGGCTTATCTGAGTGTAAGCAGGAGTGTCTGCTTGACTCCTCCAGATATTCCAGAGCAAAACGAACACTTGGCTGGCTAGCGATCGGTACCGGACAGAAAGATTAAGTCTGACGAACACTAGAATATAGATACGACTGCAACATTCCAGTGAGAAATGAGGGCTTGTCTTATTGCTGTTAAATTTTGTGGTGCACAGCTTATCTGCCACAGTACACACTCCATAGTCTTAACACCTGAGCGGTCACACAGAAATGTATAAAAAAATTGGAATAAATGTGAATAAAATGAATAACATTTAAAATGTATTGTAAGTTATACACAAATAACAACAATAGTACATAATAGTAAATAATTATTAGAACTTATAATTTTAATTTTATATATATATATATATTATTTTAATATTTATTTTAATAAATACACATACGTACATGCATACATTTAAAGGAATTTAAAATTTATATATAAAAGTTATATATGTTGTTTTTTTATTTTTAGATTTAATATATAAAATATAATAAACATACAGTATATATTAATTTATCTTTTATTTTTATAATTTAAATAATTGTAATATTTGTATAATAATGCTATTTATTATGTATGCTATATATCTTTTTTTTTTACATTTAAAATATATAAATATTTTTTTACTTTATTTAATGATATTATTTCAATACTTCATTATTATTTACTATTTTTACACCGATGAGCCAAAACATAATGACCACTTGCATAATATGCTGTTGTTCCTGCGAGTGCTGCCAAAACAGTGCCGACCTCCCGAGGCATGGACTCTGAAGACGTCTTGTTGTATCTGGCAGCAAGACATTAGCAGCAGATTCTTTAAGTCACAAACAAACAAATGTGTGCAGTGTTGCAGGGTGCAATTTCCTGATGAAAGAGACCCCTTCCTCCAACATCATTGTCATTAAGTGGTGTTCAACAATGTTTAGGTGGTGGCACTGCAAATGTACGTCTACATGAATAGCCAGACCCAGGGTTTCCCAGAAGAACATTGCACAGAGCATCACACTCCCTCCACCGGCTTGTCATCGTCCCACAGTGCATCCTGGTGTCAAACGGCACACGGCTGTCCACGTGATGTAAAGTCAAGTCAAATATATTTATATAGCGCTTTTCACAATACAGATTGTATCAAAGCTGCTTCACAGTATCAATCAAAACAACTTAACAGTGTTTGTTTATTACTGGAAAAGACATCCAAGTTTGGTAGAGCTGATCAGTGGTATGATGGGTCATTTAATTTGAATATCCCCAACTGAGCAAGCCAAAGGCAATTGAGAACTGGATTCATTGAACTTCTTCCACTGCTCTAAGTTCTCCAGTGCTGACACTCGAGTGCCCATTGGCAGCATTTTTAAAGGGTGACTGGGGTCATCATAGGCACTCTGATTGGCCTGAAGCTACACAGCCTCATACGCAGAAGAATTTGATGCACTGTGTAGGGCTGTCAAAATTGCTCAAATGACGTTCGAATATTCCCTCTAAAAAAAACACATATATTCAAACTATTCGAATATCTGGTTGGGCATTTTGTCAATTACGCGCATTACGTCAATAACAGGACAAATTAATACAAAGAGACACAACTACTTGTATAGTTAGTTTATTTAAGTTTAAACATATTTGACAACGTAATAACTTACACAAAACCAAGTAAATCAACTAATGGTCAAGACCGCAGACCTTACTCTCGCTCGCACTCGCAGGCACTCTTTCTCTCTCTCTCTCTCGCCCTCACGCTCTCTGCGCATAACGGTTTAAATGAACAACAATAAACAAATGTTGAGTGCTGATCAAGAGTTTTGTGCAAGCAATTTAAGGTCGCGACTCTTGTCCTAAACATAGCAGGCTTCATTCGGTGATTGAAACAAATATTATTAACATTAATTGAAGTTTTACAGTATATAGAACCGACATTGAACGCTCCGAGTGAGCTGTGCTGTGGTAAACTCATGGGTAAACTGCTGCTAGCAAGCCTGCTATTATGGCTATTTCGAGGGCGTCTGGCCACGCCCCCTTGGCGGGCTCTGACGTGTCTGATGTAATGCTAGTTAATTGGCGCACACGTTGGAGGCGCCCGTGCCATTGGATGTGCAGTTGCCGCAGCACAGCCAATGAGTGAGCCAGACACTCACTGGGCTAGCTGTGCAGCTGGAAAATGCGTTTTACATTTTAAGCTTCAGTATTTTGCCACTCGCAAAGCAGACAGCCGCGCCTCTAATACCGCGCGCGTGTTTTTCCCACAGTCTATGGTTTTTCCACATGATTCGAATATTAATTTTCACCTTCGAATTTCTGTTTTTTAAAACTATTCGAATATATATTCGAATTTAGAATATTCGTTGACAGCCCTAGCACTGTGTGACATTCCTCCCATAACCATCATTGAAATTGTGCCACAGTTGACCTTCTGTTGGCTCAGACCAGACGGGATAGCCTTCATTGCCCTCGTGCATCGATGAGCCTTGGGCGCCCAACACTCTGTCGCCGGTTTGTTGTTTGTCCCTCCTCTGACCAACTGTTGGTAAATTCTCACCACTGTTGACCGGGAGCAACACACAAGCCTTGCCGTTTCAGAGATACTCTGACCCAGACGGCTTGCCATAACAATTTGGGCCTTGTCAAAATCGCTCAGATCTTTATTCCTGCCCATTTCTCCTGCATCCAACACGTTGATTACGAGAACTGATTGTTTGCTTACCATCTAATCTACCCAGACCTTAATATGTGGCCTTAAGAGATGATCTATTATATTCACTTCACCTGTGGCTAATGCTTTGGCTCATCAATATTTAAGGGTCTGCTTAGAGCAGGGGTGTCCAAAGTCGGTCCTGGAGGGCCACTGTCCTGCAGAGTTTAGCTCCAAATTGCCTCCACACACTTGCCTGGAAATTTCTAGTATGCCTATTAAGAACTTGATTGGCTGGTTCAGGTGTGTTTAAATGGAGTTGGAGCTAAACTTTGCAGGACAGTTACCCTTCAGGAGCAGGATTGGACACCCTTGGCTTAGAGGGAACATTAGTTGCTACTGTACCTTAAAGACGTCTGTATGTAAGTGACTTCCTATTATGATTGACAAAAACGCCTTGTCATGGCATAGTCCTGATCTGTTCAGTCTGTTTTTCTTGTGCATCCTCAGATTCGTGCTCTTCTTTTATTCATACTAATGATGTATTCCATCTTTGTGATCCTCCATGCCCTCTTGCAGCCTCTGCCGTTCTCCTCCAGGCCTCTCTACTCTATGACCATGCTCAACTTGTCTCTCTGCTTCACCGGATTCCGTAAAAAAGACGAAGTGGTGAGTTCTGCTTGTCTGCTCATTGGACTCAAAAACAGCCCATAATTTCACTGTCGTATTATTTGTCCCAATTAACTGTTTTTCTTCAGGTTACCCTGGTAAATCTCGTTCATCACATGGGGGGTACCATCCGAAAAGACTTTGACAGCACTAAAGTCTCACACCTCATCGCCCATTCAACCCATGGTGAAAAGTACAGGGTATTTATCCACCCCATCCACACATACATGTATATCATCTTTCAGACCCACTGATTTTTGTCTATACTGAATCATCCGGGAAAAAAGATTTTCAGTTCTGAAATCCTTTGTTTGAGTCTGACTCACCCTGCTGTAATGACAGTATCTATGATTGCTGCCACAAATCAAATCATATACACCAATGTAAAGATGAGGCATGGCTGTGTGTTCTACAGGAGAGTATATATACATAAAATGTGCACAATGAACAAATGTACAAAAAGTATACATGCATTCTAAACACAGATGTACAAAATACTTTGATATTATGGATCATAATCAGTTTAAGGAACTGTTTTCACTACAGAATGAAACTTCTGATGTTTGGGGCCAGTAAGATTTTTCTTTTTAAGAAATTAATACTTTTATTCAGCAGGGATATATTAAATTGATCAAAAATGGCAAAAATATTTGTTTTAAAAAAATATTCTATTTTGAACTTTCTTTTTTTATAAAAGAATCCTGAAAAAAAATGATCATGGTTTCCACAAATATTAAGCTGCACAACTGTTTTCAACATTGATAATAATAAGAAAGGTTTCTTGAGCATTAAATAAAGGATCATGTGACTGGAGTAATAATGTCTGCTGAAAATTCAGCTTTGCCATCACATGATTAAATATATGTATACATCAAATACATTAACGTAGAAAAGTTATTTTAAATTTTAATCATGTTTCTGAATATTCGTTTCTTTTTTTTTCTGTATTATATTATATAATATTTTGATGGAAAAAAAATATGCAGCATTGGTGGGCATGAGACTTTCTTTTCAAAAACTTCCAGACTCCAAACTTTAAACTGTAATGTAATTATTTGTAAATATCACGTTTGGATCGACAAACATACTGATTACACAGTCTATAGATGTGTTTTCTGCATGTTTTTATTATTATTGTAATAAAGTATTCCTAAACGCTACATAAAAAACAAAACAAACTTGATCACTTTATATGCCTGTCAGATGAGCTCTTCCTGTCTAAGTGTGTAGTTCTGGACCAGAATAATCAGCATTATGGACTGAAAATCAGGTGATGTGATCTGATTAAATTCGCTCTCACCTTCAAATCCCAGAAACCTTTACAGTCTTGCAGTGTTTAGGAAAAGTCAATCACCCAGACTGTTAAATGCATTGCTTTTTATATCCTTTATTTCCTCATTAATCATATTTTAAGTCTTAAAAATCAACCTCACTAAAGAGACTCTTGATAAATGTCTTTTTGTTCAGTGATGGCTATTTCCTGATGGCTCCTCAAGCTCCAGGTGTGCTCTCTGTAACATTGGTCTGCTGTTGATGTGTCTGCGTTATTTAGAAAGGGTTTGATTAAAACAGTTCTCATGTATCTCTTCTCACAGCGTGCTGAATTGGGCTGAATCATTCATTAGTCTCATGCATAATGCATCGAGCAGGCTATGGTTAGGGGATCTCTTCCGTCCTGATGCTATTAACTGCTTTCTTCTTCTTTTTTTCAAGTTGGCAGTGTGCATGGGCACACCCATCCTCACCCCTGAGTGGATACGCAAGGCATGGGAGCACAGAGATGACATGTAAGATGTGTGTCAGGCATAAAACTAATCCCTTCGTCAATCCACTGTGTGGGTATAGAGGAGTAAAAACTGTGAGTGATGAAGCCGAAAAGTCCAGCCACTGGTGTGCAAACCAGACGGACCCTCCCTGCTTCCATATTTAAAGTGGTTTCCACTGCAATTGGTTTTTGACATTTTCCACACATGTATTGAGCATTGAACCTGACTTTCCACATTAATGAACTGCCACTTTGGGCTGGATGTTGAATCTAAGTTTTTTTTCTCTCTCCATACCGTCCACTCTGCGCCTACAATACTTAATGGAGAAAGTGTTGAAGTCAATATTGAATCAAAATTGACCTTGTGCTGTCTTAATACATGTGTCTGGCCTTGTTGCGCAAGATGCATCAGTGAACGTTATTTAGAGGGGCATAATCTTTCATGAAAATATAATTTGCTCTTCCTTTGAAGTGATATTCCTTTATGAATGACGTTACATAAATTGCACAGGCTAGTAGTTAATGTTAGCCAAGAGGGCTCAAAGGCAGTGGTTCTTAACCAGGGGGCCTCAGCAAACCTTTAGAGGGACTCCAATAAGTCTTGAAATTATTCCAATTTAGGTAAATTTAATATAGTCTTATTTAAAATGATGATGCTATACAGCTTTACTTGTAGTGCATTGGCAAAGTTACACATATTTAGTAGGGCTGTCGATTTAACGCTTAATTTAATTAATTATTTATGGGGAAAAATAACATGTTAAAATAAACGCAACCGCCCCGCCCCAAACCTACATAGTTCTTTTTACATTTCATTAAGTTGATTGGTGACGAACAACTCGCTGCCCCAAAAATTCAAGATATCAGGGGGAAAATCATTTATATTAGGGATTAGCATTTTTCAAAAACGTTGTATTCGGATATTTGGGGCTCATAAAAATCGAATATTCGTTTATTTAAATCTAATAAAGCAGACTGCGCCAGTTATCGTACAGAACGTACATAAACACTCGAGTCAGCATATGGTTATCGTGTTTATAATGTTTTGCATGTTTATTTTGAGAAAAAAACAATAATATCCACATGCTTGGGTGAGAAAACAGACGTTGCCGAGAAACTGTTTGCTAAGCGAAGTTTCTAACAGCACTTTGTGTTTTCTTTCTTAAACCTGTCTCCCTTGACGAAACTGAAAGGAAGCGAATGTCTCAATCATTTTGCTTTCTGATAAGTTATTAGCAGCCCTAATTTTATGTTTATTTTTTATTTAAACAAAAGTACCAGAGGGAATATCTTGCATAGGAGGGCCTTTGAATATTGTCTTGGACAAAGGTGAGCATTCGAGTCAAAGTGACTCGAAAACGCTGGTCTAGGGCGTCCACCAAAAGTACTAATTGTTCCAATTGTTTGGGTAGAGAAAAGATAAATGTTATACAAAATTAGTATTTTCATTAATTTGCTTTGACCTCTGTACAATAACAATTTAATTGAGCCAATTATTTATTTTGCAAACAGCACTTCTAGTATAAATGTCTATACACCTGAAAATGTATTGCTTCCTGTAGATTTTACGTAGTGACGACGTTGCAAGGGGTTTAGGCTGCTGTATTTTAAATTAGTAATATTAAAAAAATAATTGGATAAAAGGTTTGAAAAAGAACCATTAAGATGTTCTTGATGTTGACCTTGACTTTCGCCTTTCGTATCCTGGGCTGGCCCAGGTCTGGCTCTATTTTGATGTTAAATTCCCACTTCTACAATCCAATCCTCAAATATCCTATTTAGCTTGGAAATGCATCAGATAATGGAAGGAAACTTTAATTTAATTCACGCAGAATTGTAACTATTTTAACACTACCAAAAATAAACTGCTCGTCTTTAGTAGTCAGAAGTGTCTTAGAAAACTCCCAAAAACATATTCACACTTCTTTTTGTAGCATATTTTGGTGTTGTGGTGTGTCTGATTGTTTTTTTTTTTGGTTTAGTAATTTCCATGCAGGCAACGAGGAGTTCCGCACAGAGTTTAAAGTCCCTCCGTTCCAGGACTGCGTGTTGAGCTTTCTGGGATTCTCTGAGGAGGAGAAAACTAACATGGAGGAGAGAACTCAGAAACACGGTACTGAACTCTCATGCATCAGTGTCTTTTCTGAAACAAATCTAAAACGTTTCATGTTTTCAAATGTCACAACTTCTGCTCAAATAATTCTCGGTTAACCAAAGCTTTTTCATTCTGATGCATCTGAGACGTTGACCCAAGGATATGTCTGTATTTTATTGCTAGACCTTCTCTGTAAAAGTCAATGACCCCTGACTTCTGCTTGAGGGGGATTTTTAAAGGAGTGTGTTCTGCTTGTTTTGTTCAGGTGGACGAGTCCAGGCGGTGGGTGATGAAAAGTGCACCCACTTGGTAGTTGAGGAGAACTCCATTAAAGAACTGCCCTTTACTCCCTTGAAAAGACTCTATGTCGTGAAGCAGGAGGTATGAACTTGACTTAACGTCTCATAAGTACACGCTGGGCTTTGTGTGGGTCCTTAATAATAGTGTGTAGAAATACACTCTGTTATTTCACGCTGTTTACTGTCTGTAGTCCATTATCTAGTATGTTGCGAGGAGTGGGAATCTTTTTTTTTTTTTGGCACACATCAGGGGTTTTAGTAGTTCAGTTACAATCATAAATGCATCACTATTTCTTTAAAGGTGTTAAAGGGTTCAGTGGATGTGTTTTAAATGAATGCATTTAGGTTTGTGTTCTTTTATTTCTCATTCTGTGTCTTTCCGCAGTGGTTTTGGGGCAGTATACAAATGGACGCCCGTGCTGGGGAATCTATGTACTCTTATGAAAAGGTGAGGAAACTTGTAAAATGACAGCAGTTTGGTTCCGGAAGTACTAATCTCATTTGTTTTCTCTTTAGAGGATATTTCTTTTATTAACGTATAAACATTTCACGGCAAACCTCACAATTAGTTCTGAAGTGATGGTCTGTGCTTTTGTAGAAGTCAAAAGTCTGATTTCAGGTAATATTTTAAATCTAGGGATGCACCAATGTATTGGCTGATAAAATTATTTTCACTATCTATCACTATCGCAAACAGCTGTTGATAAGGGCCGATTATATCCTGTCAATCAAAAGGGGTGGAAGACTACAATATACTGTGTGTGAAGAAAATGTCTCATGTTGAATTTTGGGATGTCAAAGTTAATGTGACAATGCATTAACAGTAAAAAAAATAAAATCAATCACTAGTCGTTCAAGCAAGGGTTGCCTGGTCTGCGGTTTTTCCCTAAACAAACTACACCATGACTTCAATGTAAAAAAAAAACATAATCCTTGAAATTGAGTTGGAACAATGTCCCATTTAGCCACTTGTTAGCAACAGCCATTTTCAAGACAATTAAAAACAAAACAAAAATCACAAAGGGGTATTACTGATGTATTTCTTTGTCATAGACTAAATATGAAAATATCTTGTTTGAGGCATTTAGCCAAAAACCTATTCAAAAACCCATTGACTTAAATGGTTAAATGAAAATTCTGTCATTTACTCTCACTCAAGTTGTTCCAAACCTGTATGATTGATTTTCTTCTGCTGAACACAAAAGAAGATATTTTGAAGAATGTCATCAACCAAACAGTTGATGGAGCCTTGTTGACAGTACTGTTTTTTTTTTCCATTTTTTTTTTCATACTATGGAAGTCAATGGGTCCCATCAACTGTTTGGTTACCCTTGTATGATATATTTAGAAGTGCTAAAATGCTAGGTTTATGTCATCTCTGCCTCACTCTATACTGCCACTTTATAATGCAACGTATCATGAAATATAAGTACTGTGATTGAATTTACAACTTCACTAAAGTGCAGTGCACTTAAATATGTTGTCACTGTGTCCTCCTCTCAGCCCGAGAGTCCTGCGATGAAGAAAGCCGTGTCTCTGCTGTCTCTCACGACACCCAACAGTGGCAGGAAACGCAGACGTCTCAGAGAAACATTGGCTCAGCTCACCAAAGAGACAGAGATTTCTCCCTTCCCACCACGCAAGAGACCCTCGGCTGAGCACTCCCTCTCCATGGGCTCACTGCTGGACATCTCCAACACACCCGACACGTGCAAAACCAGTGGAGGTGAAATGAAAGATCCAGCATGTCATGTGACTAAAGCAGCCACATAATATTACACTTCCCCTGTCTTCCACTAGTTAAACAAATGAATATAATTAATTTTTTTAACATTCAGTAAAAAACCAACAACATTGCCCTGATTGGTTATTTGCAAAGATTGCATAAGTTCCCACTGCATTATGTAAGAGTTCTGTTCCAGAACTCTCTAGGCTTTGATCTCTGAGGTCCAGGGTGATCCCAGGCAAGGCTGAGATGAACCAGAACCAGGTCAGGGTTTGTTTTAGATGAGTGAGGCAGCTGTCTTTTTGCAGAGCTCAGGTGCAGGAGGAGCAGCGGTAGGCGGAGGAGTGCCAGACAGCGTAGATCAGAGAAAGAGTGGCCACTGCAGCGTACAAGCACTCCTGTGTGCAGACAGGAAAACCAGACAGGTGACATTCATACAACTTTAGCCCAGGGTGTAGGGTTCATGTAAACATCTACCTATATTAATGTAGGTCTTTTGAAAAAAAGGAGGTTGCTTACATTGATCAAATTTCTTAGTATTGGTTCAAACGTGGTTCAAATTATTATTTTTATTTCCTTGAAATCCACAATGCTCAATACAATTTAGGGTGTGTTCACACTTGTTTTGGTTACAAAACGATACATTTAAACCTGGTTCACTTAGCGTTCATACTCCTTTTTAAGACCGAACCTAAAGATTCAAAACAAACGAAAAAACAGCTTTTGAATCACATTTTGCAATGGAAAACAATCCTGCCAAGTGTGAACACACCCTCATGTCGATAACCAGAAAATATTTTTCTTCCTTTATTTATTTTTTTGTAATTTGACCAAACAACAGCAAAAATGATAAGATAATTTAACAGCTAAGATAATAAAAAAATTACTCCACCTGTACTTAAACGGATAGTCCACCGAAACATTTGCGTTTACTCATTTACTCGACCTCATGTCGTTCCAAACCTGTATGCAGTTCTTTCTTCTGCTGAACTTAATTTTTTATTTATTTTTTTTGGTTCCAATTTGGTTCCAATCTTTTTTTGTCAATACAAAGTCAATGGTAACCAAAATGGTTTAGTTACCAACATATATTATTTTGTTTTCCACTGAAGAAAGTATTTTGGAATGATATGAGGGTGAATAAATGACAGAAATTTTGAGTGGACTACCCCTTTTACATGTATATGATTTGATTTAATACAGCTGGACTTAATTCAGAATAACTGATACAAAGGTGCATTTTACTCTTTTCTGTGTTCCTGATTGATGGATTTTTGTTTTCATTTCTATTGATCATGGAACATTACTTTTAATTAAACTGCAAATTTTAACTTATGATTTCATAGATAGATTCCTATTGACTTTATTTTTCTTCAACATCAAATATATTTTAACAAGAGGATGAAACCTATCATAGGATGAGAAGTAATAATGTGTAATATATAGCTGCTAACCCCTGCGTGTCTGCTTATGCGTTTCAGAGAATGCCAAACCTCCCAAAAGCTCGACTCCCGCCCTTCCCAAGCAGTCAGCGCGATGGCAGGTCTCCAAGGAGCTCTACCAAACCGAGAGCAACTACGTTGATATCCTGGCCACAGTCATGCAGGTTGGTGTTCAGTGTGCGTGTGCGTCTTGTGTGTTCTCTTTCTCCTTTCACACACATAAGAATGTGGCAATCCGCAGTACCTGGCTGTGGTCTTATCAAGCTAAACCAGTGCCTCTGACCAGTAGGGGGGAAAATGAATTAGACTTGGGCACAAATGCCATGGACATTTGAGCTTTGCTTTGCACCCCTACATGTGGAGCTCATACAAAACACACACACACTCGCACGCACACACCTCTGTGTCTGCTTGCATAGTAAATGCCACATCAAATGCCCGCAATCAGAATCCAGCAAATTTCACTGAACAGTGGAGTCAGATCATCAGGCAATACTGAATAGCCTGACCTTTCCATTGTGGTCCACTGGATTTTTATTACGTTTATGGAGTAGCTTGTCAAGTAGAGGTCTACATGGGACTGATTTTCCCAGTTTCATTCCACTCTCGCAGAACTGTAAATCTTTTCCATATGTTATGTTCTCAACAGTTTATTAAATTCAAAAATATATAATTATTTAATTGTAATGCTATATTTATTTAATTATTTAACACTTTTATATTATATAATTTTTTATGCAACCCTCTAAAAATGTGAGTAAATCACTCGCATATGTGACCAAATTTCATACAAAAAATGTCTTTAATTAGCCAATAGCTAGTAAATTGAACGATTACAAAAAACAAGTTTAGCGCATATATACAGTAATTTAATTTAGCGCATATATAATTTAATTGAGCTTTACGCACCGTCTCTTGGCTGAGAGCGCCCTCTGTCGCTTTCGTGTAGCTCCGTTCCGTTCTGCAGGCTGCAGCCAGGTCCTCCTCACCGTGAGAGAAGGAGAGAGCACATGCAGTGTTCGTTGATAGGAATCTCAGTGTCCCGAACGGACCAGTGTTGCGTCATCATGCAAGTTATCATTTGCACACGTTTTTTAAGCCTTGCTAATTTAAACTTAAAGTAGCATTTAACATTTAAATAAACATTTCACGTGCAAGAAGACGCGAAAGATAACCTGCGCGCACTGTGAGAAGTTTTATGTGCACAAACTGTACATCCGAAGCACACGCCCGGAGAGCCGCGTTTGACAGCACGTGAATACTAAATTAAGCTCTTTCACGTTTTGCGCTTGAACGGGCAATTTCTCACAAAATTCTGTCCAAAAATCTGTCTTGTCGAGTATCCTAATAAACATAGTTGGTTATGTCTTAAGTGAACGTAAACAGTGGAGAAAGAAAACGCATTCATAACAGTATCAATAATATATTGGATCTGTGTGCTGTCTTAAAGGGACAGGAGCCTAATATTCCTGCTACTGTCTTTTTAATGTTAATCAAACAACAAAAAAAGCAAAAAATAATTTAAGGCTCTTGACTGAAGAACTTTTGTAGCTTTAATAAGGATTCATCTAGATTTAATTTATTCAGTGAAGACTGTGGAGTCGAGTGTTATTTTACATTTGATTAGGCTACTTTATTCAATTTCTGTATCTTACTACTGTTAGATCTACATGTAAAACCTAAAAAGCATTGTTTATTTAATTTGCGTATTTGTTCTATTGTGTTTATTTGTGCTATTGCTTGTAGATGGATTATTTATTATTTTATTAGACTATTTACTTGACTTTAACAGTGTTTGAAATGTATATTTTATATGTATGTAGAATTTTGCACTGTTCTTGCATTCCACGTAAAATAAAAAATCCACTAGCCAATGACGACTGCAGCTTCAGTGTGTCTGTAGAGGGTTTTTATGCACTACTGTTCAAATGTTTGGGGTCAGTAAGATTTTTTAAAAAGAAATTAACTTATTCAGCAAGGATGCAAAAAAGAAACAAATCAGAAGTGACAGTAAAGACATTTATAATGTTACAAAAGATTAAGATACAAAAAAAAGTTCTTTTGAACTTTCTATTCATGAAAAAAAAAAGAAATCCTAAAGAAATATGGTTCCACAAAAATATTAAGCAGAACAAATAATTTCTTTAAGATCATGATTCACAATATTATCAGTGTTTTTACTGTATTTTTAATACAGTATTAATTTGAGCATCAGAGACTTATTTAAAAAAGGTACTTTTTTAGTACCTCAAACTTTTGAATGGTAGTGAATAAACTACAGTTTTAGGGTTTATTTTAAAATGTCAAAAGGCTGAAAAATATTGAAAACTATCACCCCACTCTACTATAAATCTGCCCACTTTGGCTGCCATCTCTTAGAAATAGCACCCTCTCATGCCTACAAATCAGAGGTTTAGTCCAGTCCTGCAACGAATCTAATCGGGTCTTTTAGTGATCCCGCTGGAATGCAGACCTCTAATGTCAAGTCCCGTGGCATTAGTGAGAGTCTCGGGGTCCATCCTGGCTTAGTGATCTAATTTCTTTTATTCATCGGTTCTTTCAGCTCTTCAAATACCCACTGGACAAAGAGGGGCAGGTGGGCGGCCCCATTCTAGCTCAAGAAGAGATCAAGACCATCTTTGGCAGTATTCCAGACATCTATGATGTGCACACGAGAATAAAGGTAGGCAATAACCTTTCCAAAACGCTGAGTAAAGGCTGTGTTGAACGTGTTCGCTGATGTATGTGCTTTGACAGGCGGATCTCGAGGAGTTGGTGATGAACTGGTCTGAAGAGAGGAGCGTTGGAGACATTATCCTGAAATATGTGAGTGTGATAAAGCTTTGAACTCGACCTCCTCCGGCGTGGAGCTCATAACGCAGTCAAAGACTGAATGGCAGCTTTTGTGATCTCTCTTTATTTTTTAAAATCCTCTCAGTCTAGAGAGCTGGTGAAGGCCTACCCACCATTTGTCAACTTCTTTGAGATGAGCAAAGAGACCATAGTGAGATGTGAGAGACAGAAGCCAAGGTTTCATGCGTTCCTGAAGGTACTGATAACTTTAGAGTTTAAATCTTTTCTAGAGTTAAATGGTTTTACACGGGCCTTTTTCATGAAGACCGTTTATTCACATCTTCTTTCATTTTGTTATCCAGATTAATCAGGCTAAACCCGAGTGTGGCCGCCAGACTCTCGTTGAGCTTTTGATTCGTCCAGTACAGAGACTGCCGAGCGTCGCCCTCTTGCTGAACGGTAACGCATGAATACGGCTGTCGGCAGGATGCAAGTGAAAGACACACAAACAGCTGTTTCTATTCAGTAAATCTGACTGAATCCAGATGATTTAAATTTTTTCCACTGCATGGAAAAAACAAACAATTGTTGATCAACCTCATGGAAAATACAAACATTATTCAATAAGCGGTTTGTTTCACTTCTGTATGCAAGGAAATGAGATTTAGAGTGGATTTTGTTCTTTGTAGATATAAAGAAACATACATCAGATGACAACCCTGATAAAGTGACACTTGAACAGGCCATCGAGTCTCTCAAGGAAGTGATGACGTGAGTCCTGAGATTAACTCCTAAAGATTTCCTTAAACTAGATTTATGCACCCAAATCTTGGCATGCAACAATTTTCAGCCAAATTTGTTTTTCTTTTTCAGCCAAAACTGTTTTAGTGTGCCGAAACAGTGACGTTTAACTAAAGATTTCTTTAGCTTTCTCTCTCTCTCTCTTTATTTTACAGGCATATAAATGAGGATAAAAGGAAAACCGAGGGACAGAAACAGATCTTTGATGTTGTTTACGAGGTGGACGGGTGCCCTGTGAGTAATTTTTCCACTTTTCTGGAAAATAGTTCACCCATAATTTTGTTATTTACTTGCCTTCAAACAAGCAGAGCTATATTTCAAGTCTTTTGAAGCTTTGAGTCAACAGACCGCAATGAAAGACGTTATTTGCTGAAAATCGCCGCCCTCTGTCACAGCTCTCAAATAACTTCACCTCATTTCCACATCCCCCGACCAGCACAAATGAAGTCACCATATTATGACCAAGGGATTTTTGTCGCTCTTTTGAAATAGGAGTATGATGTAAGCATACTCCAACATTCACCAAGCAAATCTCCACCGCCAGTCCAGTCAGACCATGAAAACTATAAAAACGGCTCATTCAGAAATCATCACAGTGTTGAGGTCAGAACCATGAGCACATTAAAACATGACCATCCATTTACACCCCCCCCCCCCCCCCAAAGTTAGAAAGTTTCAAAGATCAATGCTACACTCGAATGACATCTACTCTGACCCGTTGCAAACACTGTAGCTCTACCTGTGGGCTGGAAGAGTTTGGATCGTGTTATCGACATATGAAGAATACGCTGTTTTCTGTGCTGCGAAAGCAAATCCACTTTGCTTGCACTTCCAAATGATGCTATCGGTACTGTTCGGATCACTGTGCTGAGGAAACCTCCAGAGCTGAAAATCAGATATGGTAATGGGTTTTTCGTTTCCAACCATAGACAGTATAAGAAGTGGACGGAGCCATCTCATTGGAACTCAGTTGAGACAGTTGAAGCCCATTTTTAGCGATTTTTGAGCACTTCCGTTCCTGACGCGCAGACTCAAACCGACTCAAACTAAGCTTGATGACGTGAGCTACCTGTCTGACAGACGTTAATCTTCTAGTAGCTGTGCGTGAAAATTGCCAACGTTAATCTTGCAGAGACGGGGAACTTGAGCAAAGAGTTCTTTGGCGTGAGTGAGCAGGAGTAAGTATTCCGTTGCTTTTATTGACTCATTATCTATGGGCTTCTCCATTGACGGGACGTCCCCCCGATTACCTGCGAGCTTCTCCTCCTGTCTGTACGGTAATTTCTGTACAGCGCGACAGAGAGTCGAGTGGTTATGACGCAATCGTTAGCCTATTTTTACAAAATCTGTTTCTACGGGGCCATAATGTAACATAGAAGGTAATGGAGCCCTTTATACATTGTCGTGTTTCTTTAGAAATAAATAATGGACAAATGGAGTCTTTAAACGCCTCAGATGTAAAGTTTTTCGCTGTCAAAGTGACGCCAAAATGAATGGTAGTCAATGGTAATGCTAACGCAAGTGAAGTTCTGCTACAACATGGCGGCACCCGGCCGGCTTCAACTTCCGGTCCATGGATTACCCCCTTATTTCCAACATGCGCTGTAAGCTGTAGACCAATCACAACCGACTGGGCCATCTGACCAATCAGAGCATAGTAGGCTCTCGGAAAGGAGGGGTTTAGAGACTGAATCCTTTTTGGAACCATTTCAAACACTGAGAAAAGAGGTGATGCTGCAATGTATATTCTGAGAAAATATAGTTTTTTGACCTTGGATGCATGTAAAACTGTAGTTGTAATAATATAGGGGCACTTTAAAGCCACATTTCTAATTTTAAAGTTACAGTAGCTGAAATAGTCTGTTTCTAAAGGTCAGACAGGGCAGAAATGGGATTGTAAAACTAAATTAACCATTTTTAGTGCTATAAAGCTTAACTAACATTTAGAAGTGGACTTCAAGAAATGTATTAAATGCAATGAATGTGTTGAATATGGTTATTTTAACAGCAAATTGAATTTTGACACTGTATTGTTGGCTGATGTTCCTCTTCTCTCTGTGGTGGGAGATGCTGCCATGATCTCTGAAACTTCCTCACCATTAAATCGATCAGAGTGAGTCAGCTCATATTGTCTCCTGTCAGACTCGCCCCAGAACAGCTGCGTTTAGAGACGGGGCTGCCAAACCAATGATCGCCCCCCAGCTTTTCCTGGATCAGTTTGGTTTTTGTAGCTCATGGGAACTGAAGCAGCATGGACACGAGTCAGAGTCTGATCCAGGAACAGCACTCCGAGGAATCTGAGAATATGTGCCCGCAGGCTCAGAGACAGGAAATGCAGCATGTTCATCAGGCGCTCTGATTGATTTGAACAAAGTTCTGCACACCAATCACTTATAATTAATTAATTTGCTGAAAAGGTTGCAAATGTTATGCGAGGAAGAAACTGATTTTTGTGTGTGTGTGTTTTTGTGCGCCTGCAGGCCAATCTGTTGTCGTCCCACCGGAGTCTGGTTCACAGGGTGGAGACCATCGCTCTGGGAGACAAACCCTGCGATCGGGGAGAACATGTCACACTCTTCCTTTTCAACGACTGTTTGGAGGTAAAGCTCAGTCTTTCCTTGTCACTGCACCGTAACTGCTCTTCTGAATGCGTTTATGGAAATATTACAGATGGGACGGTCCCCCCCTCTCTTTTCTTCATAATGCAAATGCTCCATCAGTTTCCCAAAAGCAGCACCAATATATGAAAGACATTAGTCTTGATTTCTTGTCTTGTTTATGGGGTTTTTAATGATAGCCTTATGATGTCAAACTACTAGCTAGATTTTCTCTATTGCTATAATTACATCCACATTGCTTTTAAAAAAAAAAACAATTAAATTGATCAAAAGTATCAGAATGACTTTGGAGCTATCCACAGTTGTTTTGTGAATCCATTAGGTGTTATTTATTATTATTTTGCGCGTGTATCTGGATCTTTCCATTCATTTTCATGAAATGTGTTATGAAATTTTCAAAAACAATAAAATGTAATAAATGCTGACAGCAATTTAAATGCACCTCTTCTATAAGCATGTTTGATTATTTGAAATTCTCTAGGTGGTGTAATTATCCTGAAAATGTAATGAAGGAAAATTTCCCATTTAAAATGCAGAAATTTTTTTTTTTTTTTTTTTTTTTTTGAACAAATTTCAAAATCAAATAATTTGACTTTTTCCCACTGCACAAAGAAAAGAAAACACCAGAATATTTATGATTCAAGTATTTATTCTGTAACAATACTTTTCACTATTACTGTTTAAAAATTATTCATATACTCGCATATTTACATAGTGTCAGGAAAATGTTACTTGATGCATTGTTTACTCCATTTGCCATTTTTCATTAAATAATTTTTTTTGATATATGTGTAAACATTTTTTTTAACCTATCAGCTTTCTAAGGAACTAGCACATGTATTCAAACTAGATTGATCATGTTTTTTTGTGAATATCTCGTGGACATCTCTTTTTTTGGTCTCCCCTTCCCTCTGTCCTCCCTAATTTTCCTCCATTTTTTTCTTCTCCAAAATTTCAGCAACCTCAACAATTGTTTGTTCAGTTTACGGGTGAGCGGTACCGTTCAAGAAAGAAATGTGTATAATTTATGAGTGTTCAATCTGTGCTTGCTGACTCGACTCGACTCTCTGGCCTGTTTCCCCAATTAGTGAGGGGATGCGTTTAAGCCCTGTGGAGGGGTTCGCTCATGTGTGCCGGCATGCGCCTGTGCTCCTCCTCGCCCAATGCCGGCTCTGGCCTAGTAATGAGAGCGAGGAGAAGGGAAGACTCTGGGTGATCAATTATTCATTTTAGGAAGTCCTCTGTATGCATATCTGTCACCCCGATCTGCATTACACATTTCAGCTCTTCTAAAGCACCAGAAGGACTCCCCACTATTCCAGAAGAGAACATTTGACATTCCTGCATTATGAAGAAAGCTGCATGTTTTAAGAGTTTAATATATGTGTGTGCTTTTTCCTTGTGCGTCTTCATATTCAGATCGCCAGGAAGAGACACAAGGTGATAACCACGTTCCGGAGTCCGTTGGGTCAGACACGGCCGCCCGCCCAGCTCAAACACATAGCCCTGATGCCCCTGTCCCAGATCAGAAGAGTCCTTGACATCCAAGACACAGAGGGTGAGGGGACCACCCGGCATTCTGCGTCCTACCAAGTGCACTCGAGTGCATATTTTAGTTTTCGGTGTTCTGAATTGGCACCCTGGAGAGGGAGGTTAAGTCTGGTTATGTGTAAAGTGTGTCAGTTCACTGTAGAGCTGGCTGATGTTGGTAAAAATGAATTGTATTTTGGTCTAAAACAGATTCTAAAGGACACTAAATCCTAAATCTTGTTCGCTTTTACATCCTCACTTAAAATGTTTAATAAAACTATTAGGGGTGTCCCCGACTAAGGATTTTCATAGTCGAATCAGATTCGTCAGGTCCTGCCTATAGTCGACTAATAGTCGAATCATGTGTGTGGTGTTGGGGAGGGGGCGGGGCTTTAACATTTTAAAGCCGCGATGTACAGAACATCACACAAAGATAGAAGAAAATGTATAAAAACATTTTGGATCAATAAAACTAAGAAATAACATAAATAACTGCAGAAAGGCCACACTGCAGATAGGATTTGCATTTCACATGCAAATCAAATTAAATTGGCTGAATTGCCTGTACGAGCATGCTCTATAGGCCTACAGCGCAACATCGATGCACTGAAAAATAATCAACAATTAAGAACATAATATAGGCTACTTTTATAATAAATAAAAATACAAAACGAAATAAGTCAGAATCAAATCACAAGAAGCAGAACAAATGTGTGCAAAATGCCTAAAGTGCAGGGGAACAAATATTCAAAACACAAGTCACAAATAGTTAAATTAGATCACCCTGAGTGATCAATTAATAAAATAAAAATAAAGAAATTATTAAAATAACGAAAGTATGGCCAGGATTGTCAACTTTGTATTTTTAACTGCAGAAACAACAATAAACGCTAAACTAGAGCGGCAGTCTTTTTAGCTATAACGTGTTCACAGTATCCAAAAATCAAATTAGAACCGGCTGAAATGTTTTGAAATCACTTATCCATACCTGATCGAAAAAACTAAATCCAGTCTTTCACTCGGCCTGTGTCCTTTTGAGTCTTTTCAAATTGTGTGCGCGGATAAAATACATTCTAAAACGCTTAACGTGAAAAACGCTTAACGGCTTTGTCCTAAAACTGTTATATTAAAAGATCAAATTCTGTACACACCTTATATTAATAAAGCATACTATATAGCTTACAGAAAAGCAGATGAGCCCAGAATATGAACGCAACGCGTTTTATTATAACTTAGGCTACGTTAAGCATTTTCCTCCCATAGAAAATACGGTTAAAGAAAAAGCTTTACGTGACTTTCAATAGGAGAAACGCGTTGCGTTCATATTCTGGGTTCATCTGCTTATCTGCACATAGAATGGTTTCTTAAGGTGTGTAGCCTATTGTGTACATACATTAAGCACGTAAAAGTGCCATTTAAGCGTTTTAAAAGCTTTTTTTCACGTTAAGCGTTTTAGAACGTCCCGAGGAAAACCAACCTGTTAACGTTGGCCGGCAGAAGTGCTTTCTGATGCTAAATCCAGCCTTGGAGTATATCCTTTCTGATGGTGTGCATCTTTAGATTGTCTTATCCCAGACATTTTTAAAGATTTAAATCCCTGCCGACAAGACGCTCCTCTGTCGGTCACGGATATCGAAAGTGAAACTTAAATCTGTCACGGGGTGTTTGGATTTATTCACCCTGCGCGCACGTTAAAATATTTATTAAAAGCTTCTTTCTTTGCACATTTTTATCGACAGCATTATCATAATAGGCTGTATATTAACATATTGACAGAAAACCAGTAGTTCTATGTGAAATCAGACATTGAGCACACTCATATAGCCAAAATGACATAATCCTCGTTTAATAACACATCTGCGAAGATTCGACCGTGAGATTGGTAGTCGAATCAGGCTCCTCCTATCGAAGCATCGAATCTTCGACTATTCGGGGTCACCCCTAAAAACTATATAGAGGTGCTATGTATTGCTATATTTGTAAGAGTTTAATTTGATTCTTTGAAACCAGTTCAGAGAAATGAATCAAACTTACAGACTCTAAAATAATTTGTTATTGTCTAAAGCGGATATGCTATTAAAACACGTCTGAATTATTTTATACCAAACAAGGAAATGGAAGGATCACAAAACGAATCTGATTCTGTGGTCTTTAGGAAATTCAATGGCCATAAAACGCATATAAAATCTTTGCAATATTCACAGCATTATTTTTTTTATTGCCAACAGAATCATTGAGAATATATTGTGAATTTTTATTATATCACCCAGCCCTACTTTACTGGATTTTGATGAGCTAAAGTCACAGTAAGACCATAATTTCACACCGTAATAGCACATTATTGATGAAGATCACATTTTGGAGCCTGGAAATTTGACTGAGATTCAAATCTGTGCGTCCACAAGAGTGGCTCCTCATACTAGAATCCATTTCATGTTTCAAATTAACTCATTTCCCAGTAGTCCACTTGTTATGGTCCCATCAATGTATGGAATGAACTCCTGCCCTACATTGATTCCCAATGAATATTGTTTCACTTGGAAAGACGAGATCCGAAAGATGTTAAATGTGTTGTGAATGTTGTTTTATGTTTGCAAACGAACAAAATGTCAGTGAAGATGTACAGCCAGCTGGTCATTATTAGAAAATAAACTCTGAAAGGGTCTCATATCGTCCTGAAGATTCATACCGCCCAGCCTTAGATCTAGGTCACATCCCTGACCTCACATTTTTGTGTGTATTTGTTTATCTCTCTCAGATTGTCAGAATGCCTTTGCCCTGGTGGTACGTCCTCCTACAGAACAGGAGAACCTGTTATTCAGTTTCAAGTTGACGGCCGAGGACACACTCAAATCTGCCTGGCTCAAAACTCTATGTCGACAAGTGGCCAACACGATTTGCCGAGCTGATGCGGTGAGTGAACACACACACATAGAAACATGGCCACTTCCTCCTCAGATCATCCCCCTCAGGCCTGGAACGGAACTCAATTATTTATTTTATTAGCTCTGCTTTCTTTTATTGTGGCTATAAATTAGGAGGTTTGTGTGGGCCTTTTGGTGTTGGCTAATCCTATTAGATGCTCCTGTGTGGTTAAACTGGGAGGCAGATTAATGTAATTAAGAGTGGAATTGTACTTGAACTTTACACTTCAGACACAGACGTCTTTATCTTCATGCTGCAGAAACGCAGGTCCCGCCCAGGCCATCCACCACGGCACATGTAATTGGTGCAGGCGGACAGATGCATGTATTTCCCTTTATAATTAAACAACCAGACCAAACCCTGCGGCTAACTGCATTTTGGCCTGGCCTGCAGTTCCCCCATCGAACATGAGGTGGCGACCTATCCACACGTCACCCGCGTGAATTGCGGCCTCATTCACTCTCTGCTCCTCTGAATATCAAGAAGCCCCAGCTGTTTGGAAAGCTAAACAGTGATGCTTCTCTTTGCATTTTGACAGGCCAGCAGTATCGCTGTGTATTTAATTTTCCATGTCTTAAACAGGAAGATCTCATTCAGAGCACTGATCCTGACTCCGTCCAAGTGAGCACAAAGGACATGGACAGCACGCTCAGCCGAGCATCCAGGGCCATCAAAAAGACCTCAAAGAAGGTAGAGCGAGGAACCTGAAACTATTGAAAACAATTGGACAACACACATGCAAATTTGGTCTTACTGTCAATGTTCTGAATGCTTTCTTGAGAATGACATCATAAAATAACCATACGTTTTCTAAAAGGAGTTAAGAATAGACTAATTGTGCATTTTATGTGTTTAGGTCACAAGAGCGTTTTCTTTCACTAAAACCCCCAAGCGTGTGCTTCAGAGGGCATTTATGGCCAATGGTACCCCAGATGAGAGGAGTCCTGGCCCAGATGGCGATCACATGGGCCGAATGTCCAGCAGCTCCACACTGGCTGTGAGTCCACAGTTTCTTTTTCTTCTCACAAATCCACTGGTCTAACAAATGAATAAAAGACGCACACCCGGTCGATTGATGCAGCATATATAACGCACCCACATTTAAGAACTATTCACACCATCCTCTTACTAATGGTCAGAAAAACATGCACAACAACATGATGCATCTATATGATGTGCTTCAAGGCTAATTCACTCAGAATAAAGCAAAAAAAAAAAAGAAGTTTTTGGAGCTTATCAGCCCTGGTGCCTATTCAAGGAACATGAACAAGATTTTTTTGTTTCTGCTAGTGTAGAGCGGAGTGGGCATTTTCAATTCCGTTTTCATAGAAGTTTCAAGCGTGCCGTTGTTCTGAATATCAGCACGGCTGTGATTTGACGGAAGGAACTCAGCAGGTTTTTTTTTGTTACTGTTTACTAAAATACACTATTCCTATTAATCTAAAATTAAATAGTTGCAGCTGTATGATTGTATTTTAATCTAAAATTAAATAGTTGTAGCTGTATGATTGTATTTTATAAATAAGCACATTTTGCTTAAATAAAAAAAAAAAAAAAAAAAAAATTGGTACTGATCTTTGACTGGTATCACTAGTATTGACTACTGAAATAAAAGGGTGTAATGGGTATAGTATGAATATATATTAAACTAATTTACCTTTTGTCATATCACCACTTTTGCGGTTTAATTATCTTTACTTAAACTACTGTTCAATAGTTTGGTCAGTAAGATTTATTTTTTAAAGGTAGGGTAGGCAATTCCAGAGAGGCTAGGAATAGCAAGTTAGCTTTGAAAGCATGAGATCCCACCCTCCCTTCACAGCGCTCTCCAAAGCCACACCTCCTTCAAAACACATGAGCAAGAGCAGAATCTGCAAAGTGTCACAAGATGAGAGACGGCGTTAACTTACTTCATGTCTCAAAGCACATAACTTTACAATAATAATGAACAAACAACTGTTAACTGTTAGCTCTTAGTTGTACCACCTGACTGCTGCAGATTCATTCCGTCGTTGCTAGTGTTGAAATAGAAAGTAAAAATCTGGGTCTGAGGACGTCACGGGTCTCCATCTCCTAATTACTGTTTTTATGGTGGCTGTCTGTCTACAACTCTGCGTAGCCTTACGGAACTCGCTGATGACGTGTGATGTCTGCGCGAGCAGGTATGGAAATATTACACTTGTCATTTAGTCGCATCACACTTGGTGCAAACAGGCATTTACATAAATTCGTATTTTTATTTAATCTCATTTTTCACAGTTAAACCTTTACAGTATGACTTTCCCTCTCAGAGGATTTACTTGTTGCTTTGGTCATTCACTGTTTTTCTTTCCTTCAGCATAAGGCAGGGCTCCAGACTGCGCCCTTTTTTCTTTTTCTTTTTTTTTATCGGTGTGACTACAATTTGTTAGAGGTCGCACTGGTGCCACCACAACGTTGCCCAACTGATAAGAGCTGCCATTTCTGTTGCATATGGGATAAACTTAAAACGCCAAACGAAACAAAAGCAGAACAAAACCACGCTTCTCGTTTGAGCTGCGCAACGTGGACAGTTTATCAGTTTGGACCAATATTAGACATCTGATCTCGATCCTGCGACACCGTAACTACACCGTGTTGGGAAATCCAGTGACAAAGCATTTGAATTCAGTGCAGTGTTAATAACATCGCTGCGAGATCTAGTGAAAAGTATTCAAAATCAGCGCAGAATTCTGTTATAAAGTTATAAAAGGCTTTTCAGTCGACAAATCTCCAACATTCACCATGCATTTAATGTAGTAACGTTAACTGCAGACATCCCACCCTGTAAAAACTAATTTCAGGGAGGTAGCACCAACCCCTCCAACCTCCACCCACCCAATATAACTATACAATTTAATGTGTCTACATTATATTATAATCTGTGAGTTTCACCTCATACATTAATAGAGTCGTAAGCCGCATTACCCGGGTCGCTCGCTTGTATAAAATCTGAGCCGCTATCAATATGTGGGAGACTCACAGACCTTTAGGTAGACGTGGGATGTCTACAACTGTAACCCATGGTATTGTGGGAGAAATTGTCAAATGTTTTTACATTATTCATTTCAGGGTTCATACAACCTTTTGAAAGTGAAATTCAAGTACTTTTTTTCAAGGACTTGAAAAGTGCGTCACTTTTTCCAGCTCTTCAAAGCTCTTAATATTATCCAATTCGATTAATATGATGACCAAAAAAAAAAAAAGATAAATTTTTGCCTATAAAAAACAGGTTTTTACATGTTATATTACTGCATCTTAGCTCAAGCTCAGTGCTTTACGGTCAAATGTGCATTTCCAAGAAATAAACATGCAATATTATTAGTTACTGCGCTTATTAGCAAAAATAATAGTAATTCTATTTACATTTATGATTAAAAATCCCCACAGCGCCACCATCTGTAGAACTATTGTAGGTGATTCATGCACTGCTAAATATTTGAGAAATCCCTGCGTTCGTAACGAGATCGCGTTCAAATTTTTCACTTCCTCTTTCAATTTTAAAGTGAGTGATTGTGAAGCCATGCGATGCAGGGACGGAGTCAGATGAGGTTAATGCGCTCTCTCTCTTTCTCTCCATCTCCCTCTTCCCTCCGTGTGTGAGTAGATGTCTCGTTCAGCCTCTACGTTCAGTCTGACCGGCTCTATTAAAAGCGCAGTGGTTCAGCGGTCAAACTCTCTGGACCATGCTCCGCGGCCCAGAGTCCCACTGTGTGTCCGCACGCCGTGCAGTCCAGAGAGAGCTCCCGAGACCCAGCTCAGACCATCCGTCCTGTCCCTCCCAGCGGCTCAGCCCGTAGCTCAGTGCAGAGAGCTGCTGGCGCCCCCCGAACTGCAGCGCAGGTCCCCGCGGCGGGAGACCCACCTGTAGGACTCTTAAATGTGAGCACAGCAGTTCTGCCTCTTTGACTCACTGTGACTTACTAACTCCTACTGTATCTGGGGATGGTGTCAACACTTACTCACTAGCACACGGATGGGCTATGGTAGCACTAATTTATTATAGATGATCGGAGGATATGTTCAGAGGGATCACTTAAAAATGAAAATTGTCATTTACTTACCCTCACCCTGTATGACTGAGTTTAAGTAACTTATTGTAATGGTTAGAAATATACTGGCCACTTTTTTTCCATGAGTGAATGGGGGTCCAGATTGGCAGCAAATGACAAATAAAGCTCCATAACTGTAACTTAACTGAAATTTTGACCATTGTTAACTTGTCCTGACCTCTGAAGTAGCTATCATCTCATTCGCACTTCTGCATATTCAAACTTTTAACGTTATGATTTATGAACATGCATCACGTGATCAATAATTGGCCAACATCTCGATGTCATGTCTTCAAAGTTGTACTTTAGTACTTTTTAAATTGAATTAAAATTATTTTCATATCAATTGTTGCCAAAGCATTAATTCTAATTTAAGTTATTTAATTTCTGCTTTATTTCAATTAATGAAAAATGTTTTAATAGTTTGTTAATTCAAAAAATGCATACATTTCAGTCTGTTTCAGACTGAAATGCATCATATTATTCATATGAATATGAAACCCTTTTATAATATTTCAATAAATAAAAAATACTTTATTTGTTTGGAGCTTGACAATCCAGGGCCCTATCCACTTTGTATTGCTTGGTAAATAACCTAGAAATTCTGATATTAAAACATACTTTGTGTTCTACAAAATACAGAAATATCCTTATTTTTGGTGAAATATCCCTTTAACACAGACCTCAGATCATTTATGATGTGTAAAATATGAGACCAGCTGACACATGCTTTTATAGTTCCATGATTCTGAGTATAATGGCGGTTCTCATATAAAGACGTAATTGTTACTGTGGCATACAATGTTATTTTTTAATTTATTTTTTTTCTCCATAAATCTCATATTTTTACGAGATCACATTGGCATGATCTATGGGCGTGAAAGCTGTAAAGTGGCTGATGACCGTGATTTAATCTCCTCCTATTTCTAATTTAAACCCATAAAGTATCATCTGTATACTGGAGTGTGTGTGCATGTTTCGTATAGCACACAAGGCAATTCATCAAATGTTTTTTTTTCCCCTCATTGCCATCGGCCGCCTTTATTGATCCTGAGGCCTCCAACGGCAGTGCAGGGCCACCTTAATTCTTATTAAGCAATGCTAAGTAATAGGATTATTTGTGTGCATGTGTGAAAGCAGCCTGGTGCGTGTTACATCGGTGGGCTCATTAAGAGTAAAGCAAAATAAATTGGGTTTGTGGTTTGCTAACCTCCTTTTCACCCTCACATCTGTTTAAAGAGAATATGGTATTATCCTCTGCATGTAGGTTATTCCTTCGGGTAACACTGTTGGTTCTGATGGGTGAACACTTAACTAGGGTCAACTGTGTGCATTCTTACCTCAGCGAGCTTGTAAAGCCAATATCATTAACAAGGATTTCTCCCCTCGCCTCTTCTAACCCCTCTTGAATAAACTTCTACAAAAACCTGTGAACCTCTGGCTTCTGCTAGAACACTTAAAGGCACAGTTTTTTGGTTAAAACAGAAAATCTCAACATTATTTAATGTTTTAGTTCCTAGCCTCAATCCATGAAGATGAGCTGTAGTTCTGTTAGGATTCTGTAGGGATGGGTGGTGTGATGGTGAATATACCGAACTGTTAATCTCATCAACAAAATTACAAATAAAAATGTTCTTATATTTTTAAAATTACAAAATGATTCTAAAGTTTTGATCATGAAAACTAATGACAATTAAACTGTTATATACTATTGATGAAAATCGAAGTACCTTAATGCAAAAACTTAAATGTATATATGTTTTTATATACAGTAGAGAGGGAGAGACCTCATTTCCATATTTTTATACTTTAATGGTTATACTTTTTTTTATTATTATATATTTTTTTTAAGGGTTAGTTCATTCAAAAATGAAAATTGTCATCTACTCACCTTCATGTCATCCCAAACCCGTAAGATTTTCGTTCATCTTTAGAACAGAAATGAAGATATTTTTTATGAAATATGAGATATTTCTCTCCCTCCGTTGACGGCTACATACAAGTGGGAGTTGCGTAGACTGTCAATGGAGGGACAGAAATCTCTCATATTTCATCAAAAAAAAAAAGTCTTCATTTGTGTTCCAAAGATGAACGAAAGTCTTACGGGTTTGGAATGACATGAGAGTAATTAATAATGGAATTAAAATTTTTGGGGTGAACTATCCTTTTAATGTTTAGCCTGACATTTATTTAATCAAACATATATTTGATGCCAATTTAAGCCAGATTAAACTGAATGACAAAATATTAAATGAAGCTATGTAACTATGGAAATGTTACCACTTTGCAGAGCATCATCCCACATTGATACAGAACTTCAGTTAATGTGCAAATTCAATCTAAAATTTAATTAATCTTGTTTAATTCTCATTCAAATCTACTTTTCTGCAATTTTGATTGCCGCTCATCTAATCCAAATTTAGGGTCAAATTTATCAGTTAACTGTTTTGAGTCTTGTTTTTTAACTCGTGTTACATCTTTTAATTTGAAACTCCGATGCAAACTTAAAACTTATTTATAAAAATGTGTCTCTGGTTTGTGAATGATTTAATTCACTGGATTATCCGATAGCACATGGGTATTTATTGTATAAACTATTTTAAAGTGCCCCTATTATGCTTTTTCGAATATTACTTTTCATGTAGTGTGTAATATAGCTGTTTGTGACTGTAAAAGATGTATAAAGTTTTAAAGATCAAAGTGCACATAAGATAGTTATTGTCTCCTAAAAGAAAGAACTGCTGAAACGAGTCGTCAGTAATTCCAGTCTCCCTTCCTGTTAAAAACATGTAACAATATAACAAATTTCCATAATGCCAGCCAATGGTCTTTATTGGCTACCCACGAACAACGTCCACTTTGACCCGCCCTCAAACACTGTAGCTCTAGCTGAGGCATTGGTTTGTATATTCGACATATCAAGAATATGCTGTTTTCAGCACTGCAAATCCAAAGGATAAGGACATGCGCTGGAATTGATACGGAAAAACGGACGCCATTGTTTGTATCAATTGCTAAGGAAACCTACGGAGTTGAAATTCAGATGTGGGCGTTGTTAGCTGTAGACCAATCACAACAGACTGGGCCATCTGACCAATCAGAGCAGAGGAGGCTCTCGGTAAGCAGGGGTTTATAGAGACTGAATGTTCGAGCGAATCATTTTCAGACTCTGAGAAACTAGGTGATGGGCAATTTATATAATGAGAAAATTAAAGTGATCTTGAATGCAAGCAAACCTACTGTAGGAAACCTCCAAAACAAAATAGCATAATAAAGGCACTTTAAATATATCATTGTAAAAAATGATAGTGAGTTTTATAAAATCGCTCGCACAGTGATACAATTCTTTCTTTCTTTTTTTTTCATACCGCCCACGAATCTTTAACAAGGTCTTCTGGGTATGGAAATGCACCAAAGGTTAACACATCCACCACGTCCAATTCAGCACTCTTGGGTCTTAAACTAATTACAGACTGGAATGGAAATAATCCAGTATTACCCTAAAACTATCCTTTCATCGCTATATTATTATTATTATTATTATTATTTTTTTTTTTTCAGGCTGTTCATTCCCCATCCATGATCAACCTCTCCTCTGCCTTTGAGAGGAAGTATCACACCTTCAGCAGATCCACAACTCACCTGATCTGAACGTTGCATTCTGCACTCTACAGTATTGAAATTAATTCCACACTACGGTACCACGTCCGCCCGACGCCTCTAGCACATGCCCCCCCACCCGGGTTTAATCTACAGGTCCAGAACCCACCGAATGAAGGAACGGCTTGTGTTGATGGCGATGTCTGGGCTCATTTAATTAACATAGGAACATTTATAACTGTCGTCTTCTGATTTTATTAGAGTAGAGTTTTCACGCAATTATTAACCACTGCAAGTATTTCATGTTTTATTTCTTAATCTAAACTAATGTAGTTTTCAGCTTTTATAAAGCTATAGACATCTGGCCATTGCATTTTCAGTGGAAGTGCACAGTAATGTCTGGTTTAAAATGCAGCCTTGTACTCTTAGAAGTGATTATTTTATTTTATCGTTGATTTAGGGGTATTGGTTTCTATAAGTCAAAAGAGAGTTGTTGTGGTCAGCCTGCCATATTTATTCTCCAGAATCACTTCTAAAAATGTTTATGTAAATCCTCTTTTCTGTCTCTATTTATGTGTAAATATTGTATTTGTCCTCATGTGATCGTCATACTAATTACAGTTTGTCTCTACCTTTTTGTAGTCTCTGCACTTACATCAACACCAACATGAATTCATGTGTAAAGCAAAATTCACTTTAGTCTGTAAAAGGGATTTATAGAATGTCCTTGCCAACTGCAGATTTGTTTGGAGTGGGTTGGTTTTATGTTATTGGTTTGACTACTTTTGAAGGTGACTTCATTTATTCTTTATCAATAAAAGAAGCATAAAGCCTTCATCGTGTTTGTGTCTGTTTGAAAACCGTTATTTTTTTTATGAAGGAATCTATTTGAAATAGTTTGTTCTATAAGATCTCAGATGAAAATGTAACATTGCAATCCATTTTCCTATCTTGCACTGTAAACTAAAGCATAGTTTACTTCAGTAGAAATCTCCTTCCAGGACGAAGATCCTTAAAGGCCCTTTTTTTTTTATATTCACATGTAGTTAACTAAGCATAATATCAGTTTTACATCTTTGCATTTTTGACTAGATATTTTCTTGCAGGGTTTCACACAGCTCATTTCATAGTAGAACAGTGGGGTGTCCGACCCTGCTCTTGGAGGGCTACCATCTTGCAGGAGTTTAGCTCCAATCCTGATCAAGTTCACCTGAAAAGTCTTCAGGATTACCTGGAAAATAAATGACATTATTTGATTGATTAGGGATGGAGCTAAACCCAGCAGGACAGTGGACCTCAAGGCTAGAGTTTCCCCATTTAAAAAATTCCTTTCAATATGTTTTACTTAACTCCAGATGTTATACAAATTGACATGAAATTATTTTTCGCTGATCATTTACCACTCTTGCCTGTTTAAGGGTTAAAGCCCAAGTTTATTTTTTTACGTGCACAGCATTGCAAACAGACTTTTGACAAAGGCGCACTAGAACAATGTTCAATAAAAAAAAAAAAAAACATGTACTCGTTTAAACTGCAGTTGCGTGATTATCTTAACCCCTTCATACAAGCCTGGATTTTTGGTTCCTTGCCACCGTCACCTCTGGCTTGCTTAGTTGGGGACACTTCATTTTCAACAATATTATTGATCTGACTGCACTGACACTATTTGATGAGAACTGAGCAGGGGTGCGTTTCCAAAAAGCATAGTTAGCCAACTATAATCGCAATTTCCATTGAACTCTATTGGTAACGACAGAACTTTGCAACCATGATTGGCTTTGGGAAACGCACCCCTGGATGATGACATTACCGTTTTCTGCAGAACTGCTTTATAGCCGAATTGAACTAATTTAATAATTGATTATCTTTACAATGAAACTGAATCAACACTGAACTGACTTCGGCTGAACAATGACTTTTTTATTTATTTAGAGCTGCTTTACAGTCGAATTCAATTCTGTTTGCATCATTGAATCATCGTCTTCCTGTTATCACTGTTAAAGGGATAGTTCATTTTGAAATTAATTTTTGATATGTTTTAGCTTACCTCAAGGGCATCCAAGATGTAGGTGTCTTTGTTTCCGCAGTAGTTTCAATTAACGCACAGACCGAAGCGCCCGCGCCCTCAGATCACTTGGACGTGGCTGTGGTTACAAGAGGTAAAAACGATACAAATACTGTTCGTTTTCTCACACAAACCGCTCGTTTCGTGTCTTAGGCCATCAATGTGTACTTACATTTACGAGTCATTAAATCATGTTTAATTTGGACTTCTCTGTGCATGCTCTTTGAGGAAGTTACCATAGACCTGCATTATATGACTGACTGACAAGAACGGTTTGACCTAAAAATATCAAAATTGAAACTACTGCGGAAACAAAGACACCTACATCTTGGATGTCCTTGAGGTAAGCTAAAACATATCAAAAATTAATTTCAAAGTGAACTATCCCTTTAAGCTGCTTTGAAACAATCAGTATTTTATAAAGCGCTATAAAAATAAAGGTGACTTGTCTTGTTGCCATCTCCAGTAGTTTTTGGACCAAAACCAAAAGTCCTATATATTCAATTTATAATTCACCCAAAAATGCATATTCTCTCGTCATTTGCTCATTTACTCTCTCTAATGTCGATCCAAATCCCTGTGACCGTTTTCAACGATTGTTACCAGAAAATGAGTGGAGGCTTGGATCACAGTCAACAGAAATGATAGTTTCAAAAATTGGATCCAGTCCCAGATTGAATGAGGGCCATTGTGGGTGATGTGTGTCACATCTGAATGTCTCTTTGCTCTTTAGACGTGTCATTTGACTCGTTGGAAGATGAACAGAAGGTTCACAATCATAACTGATGCAGCCAAACAGCTGTTTGACAGAAGAAGCCGATGGCATCACTTGCAGATTTATTTATGGGCTTGTAAAGAAACGCATGAAGACCGGTATGGACCATTGAGTCTGTTTTCAAAAGCATCAAATAGGCTGATTATTATGCAGTGTACCTTTGACACTTTTTCAACCCCTCAAACAATAGATTTGGAGGCTAAAGCGGCTCCGTCCAGTCTTAAGCAAATCCGTTGTGCCCGTTCCAGGGTGCTCATTATTGCACCAGGAGGCCTTTGCCTGATACTTGTGCTGTTTGTTCCTCCTTCAAAGGACAATCTTATGGGATGATTATAGTATCAAAATGATTAACACGTGCAAGCACACTTATCAATGAACTTGATATGTGTTGCAGAAATGTTTTGTCCATGCCTTTCAACTTGCGTGTGCAAAATTCTAAATTGAATGAATGTGAAGCAATTTGTACAAATAGAGACATTTTTGTGAATACAAATGTTTTCCTTTGTATTAGTGTATCATAATTTGCACATGCAACACAGAAGATGTGCATGTGTGGATCAGGTGACGCGCGTGCATTCATTGACGTCTTTTCTTTGTCGATCTCATTTGATTCATTTGGATTTTGAGACTTTCTTTTCGCGGTTTTTAAGCATTTCACAATCCACACACAAACAACTACAAATGAATAGCCCTGGTGCTAATTATTAATGTGTGCACAACTACCCATCTATTTGACAAGTTCACAAATGTGCGTCACTACATTTAAACTAATACAGTACAACTTGTGTGTGCAAAATCCAAAATCACATGAATGTGCAGCATTTTGTACAAATAGAGACGTGGAATTTCAAATTTTCGCGAAACCCGCGAAATGAAAGTCTCAAAATCCAAAATGAATCAAATAGGATCGACTCAGAAACGAGTCAATGAATGCACGCGTGTCACCTGATCCACAACTGCACATCTTACTTGTTGCATGCACAAATTCTGGCCTACATTAATACAAAATCGAGGTCCACGATCTTCCACGATCCACACACAGCTGTCTGAGAAAACCTGCTAGCACTAAATGGCAGTATTCTGCTAAAACAGACAACGGCAGCATAATCAAGCGTTCTTCCGCATTTAACCCTCTGGGGTTCTTCGGACCAAATGGACCCGAAGAATTTAAATAAAAAAATGTGTAAAATCATAGCTTCATCGGAATGGTCCGAAATTTGGTGACTTTGTTGGTACTTGGTATATGAACACCCAAAAAAAATGGGGACAGGATTTGAATAGTCTAAGTGGTTGTAAAAAAAAATGGTCACACTCAGGGTCTTCGGGTCCAAATGGACCCGCCATAGGAAATGAATGGGAAATTGACAAAAATGTGACAATACAGAGTTGTTTTGTGCGTACAATCAACAAATCAGCCACGATCCAGAAAAAAAGCACACAACAGTGAAGGGGTGAATCTATAAAACATCAAGAGTGCAAAACAGACACATCCACACACACACACACACACACACTTTTATACACAAACACACTAATAAATTCAGATTACATAAATATGTTTTGAATTTTTAAAAATCACAGCTTCATCGGAATGTTACGAAACTAGGTGACTTTTATGGTATTAGGTATGTGAACAAACAAAAAATATTGAGGTCATGATCCAAGCATGCTAAGTGGTCGTCACACTTCTGCTCTTTGGTCAAAAATGACCCCCATAGGAAATGAATGGGAAATTGTCAGAGTTTTTTTTTTTTTGCATACAATCTACAAATCAGCCAGGATGCAGAAAAAAGGACTCAACAGTGAAGGGGTGAATCTCTAAAACATCAAGAGTGCAAAACAGACACACACACACACACACACACACACACACACTGTATTATATATTTATAATAATCTGTATTATAAAGTAAAACTGGCACTTCAAATTACCATTTAAACCAAACAAACAAACAAAAAACAAGACAAAAATAGTCTTTGAGAATCTGTTATTATATTTTAAAATCAACAACCTGAAAAAAATTGTCAAAGATGTGCAAAACTCACAAGAATTCTGAACCCTTTCTACAGAGAGCTGTAAATCCACTAGTGGTAAAAATGTGCTATTGCGTGATAAAAATGCTCAGTGTGTCCAGCAGATGGCATCCATCTCATTTCAAAAATTGTTTCCATGAGGCCTAGGCTTGACTCTAAAATGAAATACAGCTTTAAAAAAAATATATAAAAAAATACATATTTATAAAAAAATTATATTATATTCAATGGGAAAAAATGGGTCATAATTATTGCATAAATATTAATTATAAATCATAAAATTTTCTCAAAACACCAAAAAATAAAAGAATTTTTTTTATAAAAAACAAGTAAAAAAAAATATATATGATTTTCTTTTAATAAATATGAATCAAACCCTTCCGGACCATTTGGTCCCGAAGACCCTGAGTGTGACCCTGAAATGAAGGACCCCAGAGGGTTAAGACGCTTAGTGAGAGTGATATTGAAGCACCAAATTTAGTACACAATAATATAGGCCTACCCTATTAATAAAGCATACTTTATAGAGGCAAACATTACATCAGATTATGAACAACACCCATAGAAAACCATTATAAAACGCTCTCGGACCGGTTGCATGCAAAGTTAAACGCAACTGCAGAATTTCATGTTAAGCTTTTTCTTTATAATGCTCTATATGGGAGGAAAACTATATAGCATACAGACAAGAGACTACACGAACGCAATGTAGGGCGTTTCAAGTTAATAAAATGTTCCTTCCCGAGCCTGTTAAAAAGAAAAAGCTTAACATGAAATTCTGCAGTTGCGTTTAACTTTGCATGTGAATGGGAGAGCAACCGGTCCGAGAGCGCAGTGAAGTAAGTTTTAGGTTTGATATTCGCCACATTTTATAAATGGACCATCTGCAAATTCCACTCACAGTCAAAAAAATATAAACGTCCAGTCATTCATTCAAATGAACATACTTCCAAGGTTATAT